TGTGTTAAAGAAGCGTTGATATTGCCATTGAATTATAGTAACATTGAAGCCTACTTCTCTAGCTCTTACATCAAAATTTGAAAAATTGATTATCATACTTCATAACAAAGTTGATTGTTTAACTTAATGTTTGAGGATCAGATAAGTTGAGCATCATTTTCTTTATCTTATATTGTAATCTATAGAAAAATTGGCTCATAAGTGCAGTATCATTCCACTTGATATTAATTACAAGTTATCAAAATTGTGAAGCATATAATGTTACGGAATAATTATCTTGTCACAAAATATGCATCTTATTAGTTGCAATACAAGTTGCATCATGTTTTCCATACATAGATCAAAACTCTACCAAAAAAGCTTCCAAATTATCCAATATTTGATCTTGTTGTTCAAAAAAAGATGAAAACCACAATAATGCTAAAACTAAAAGAAGTATACCAATGAATCTAACTTGTGATACTAAAATTGAATAGCTTTGAAATTGAAGTTCAATCACAAATTATACTTGATTGATGAATCCTTGAAACTCGGAACTTGTACCATCAAACTCTTTAAGCAAAGCAACTCTTGGTTGTCTAGTACCAAAACGATGTTTCACCATAGCAGAAGGGACATTATTTAATACATATGTTGAAGCACCTCCAATCATATCTATATCTTCACTTCCTGCCATTCTTGTTGCTCCTTGTAGTGGTAAATTAAGTTGATGCATCACAAACATTAACTCTCTCAATTACTCTTGTATTTGTACCATTGTACCTTTCATTTCAACAAGCTTTGCCATAATAATATTTAAAAAAGAAACATCTAATTTTTCTCAAGATAAACAAAAGAGAGGACTTAAGAACAAAGAAGATATTAAAAATAATATTAGTTTGAAAGAGGGTAATATACAACTTCTAATATGCTTATGTCTTATCAAGAAAAAGAGATAATCTATTATTAATCAAGAAAAGACAAAGCTCTAATATTATAAGTATATTCTTGTTAATATGTCAAGGACTTGAACTTAAAGAAGATGCATAAATCTAAGAATTATGTATCAAAAAAAAAGTGATAAAATAAAAATAAATTAATATATATATATATATATATATATATATATATATATATATATATATATATATTAAAAAGAAATTAGAATGGCTATTGTCAAAAGATAAAGAAACTAAAGACTCTTGAATCTAGACTAAAAGTAAGAAAGGAGTTAACAAGAGTGAAGAAGGCTTTACTTTTGCCTCTATATATACTATCTACCTAGGATCTATATGACAAAGTTTAATAGGACCTCCAAAAATGTGTTGACTTTACATGATACATATCTTGACTTGCAAGGCAAGTTTTCTATATGGCCACTACATAGTTAACTTGTTCCGCAAGCTACCAATATATGTGGCATATGTATAGGTTGTTGACCAAGTTTCTAACCTATCAATCAACTACAAACATATGTAAAGCCAAAATAGCGTCTAAAAAGCTTCTATGAAGCTTTTCTAGAAGATATTTTGAAATTAATCTACTTTTATATTATTCTATGTACTTATGTAATGATTAAAATAAATATATATCTGTGACACCTTTATTAAGAGTTGCATAAAATTCTAGCTGCACGATATCTATTGTAATTAGAAAAACTTGTTTTATGAGACATCGTCATTTTTGGCAAGTATGCTCTTCATTTTGTTATTGAATTACTTCTTTGAATAATATTAAATAGTATGTTTGGATTCTCTACAATATTGATACTATCTTTCTTGATGATGATGAGTTCTTTCTTCTTCCATAAGAAATTCAAAACGTATCCAATCAATTTGCATTAGTTTTGGCCTTGATGGATAAGTTTTTGAAAATCTGCAAGTTTCCACCATTACTAGACTTATTCTTCTTTAGCCAAATCATTTTTGTTGTTGCCTTTCAAATAATCAATTGTTGCATGCATTAGCTTAAGCAATAATTTTTTTTTAAGATTTTTCTTTTAACATTGATAATAACAAATTTTTGATGTTGTCATGATGTAACACAAATAATAAAAGAAAGAAAGATAAAAAAAATATATTATAAAAGATCTTATTTTAAAATATTATAAAAATTTATCTTAAAAATATAGATAATAGCAAAAAATATAATAAACTTAAAAGATGTTAATACTACCCTTTTAAAAAATAGGCTTCTACTTACTTTATAGGACCATAAATAAGAAAAAATAAAGTAGATTGAAAAATTAAATTATCTAGGCATATGTAAGAAAAAATTAAGAGTGGTTTTTAATAAAATGTACCTCAAGAAGCCAAGAATTGATATCCAAAGAGGACTAATTGTTGACCTAGATTGATTAGGACTTAGGATTTGGTATAGGATTTGGTTAGGATTAGGTTTTCTTGGAGTAAGGATTAAAACTTGATTAAAGGTTGACTAGGATTTTTCTAAGATTTGTTTAGGATTTAGGATTTTATTGGGATTTCATTAGAATTTGAAGTGGGTTTTGAATAAGATTTCAATTAGAATTCTATTAGTATTTTTATTTTTAGTATTTCTTTAAATTTATTATTATTTATTTAAAGGTTTATTTTTATATTTCTTTAAGATTTCTTGTTATTTTTATTTGGAATTAATTTGAGACTTCTTTGTGTTTCTTTTATAACTTCTTTTAAATTTATTTTGAATTGGTCAAAGTTCAATCAGGATTATTAAGGTCTACTCAAGCTTATTTAAGATTCTATTAGATTTAGTAGGATTATTCATGCATTTTTACTTATCTTCTGTAGCTAAGCACCTGGTGCATTCTAAAGCAAGAACTCATGTAATAAAAAACATTGTCCTTCAATCTATATCAAAATAGATTAATAAGAGCTTTGTTATTCAAGTTTACATCGCAAGCAAGGTTTTGGAATTCAACAGCATATTTAGTAGTTGACCGTGATCCTTGTTGTAAAGAGAAGAATTTAGTCTCTACTATTCTTTTTCAATCATTTTTTTCAAATATGGCCGTAAACACTACTAGGAATGAATTCAAATTGTAAAGGAGTCGTAAATCCTTTTCTATCAAAAATGCAAACTAATAAAGAATACTTTCACATAGAAGTGCACTTATAAATCAAACTTGAGTAAATCCATCAAGATATTGGAAGAGATGCAATCTTAAATAGAACTTGATTTCTTGCAAAAATCCTTGAAATTTTGATCTTATTCCATTAAACTTCTTCAGCATACTAATCATTGTCCCAATTGTACTTATAGAAGTAAAACTTTTTGGATTTGGTTGTGAGGTCGATCTACCTACTTTCTTCAACTACACAACTTTTTTATGCAGAGTCTAAATTTCTTCTATAGGCATAGGATTAATATTTATTTGATTGGTACTGATAATGCATAAGATTTCTACCCTAATAGTATTGACAAATTCATGAAGATCTATAATAGTTGCAAATCTATTTTCACTTTCATCAAGTGTAGCATCTATAATCTTTCCTTTCATTTTGAAGAACTTAATAAATCCACAAGTCAAATTAGAGGAGGGTAATCTGCAACCTCTAATATCAAATGAAAATTTCTATAAAGAAGAGTAATCCACTCTTTTTAAGAAAAAAAAAAAATAGTATTGGAAAATTAAACAGTTTGTTTAAAGGTAGATAATCTGCAATCTTTAAAATACAACAATAGAAGTAGAATAATCTACTCATTTTTAAAACAAAACAAGAACAATGACTCAGGACTCTTGTTAAACTATCAAGGACATTAACGTCAAAGATATAAAATGTCAATACATTCTTGAGTCACTTGAAAAGGTGATATAGTATTAAACTGAAATAACTATTGCCAAAGACAAGAAGACTAGAAAGTCTTGGAACAAGTCTAAATATTAGAAAGGCATTGACAAGAATGAAGAAGAAGGCTTCACTTTTGCCTCCATATAAACTCTTAACTAGGAGTTACATGGCATTGTCCTAGAGGACCTCTAAAACATTTTGACTTTGCAAGAGACAAATCTTAACTTGTAAGACAAGTTTTCAATATGTGTGCCACATAGTTAGCTTGTTTTGTAAGCTATCAACACGTGGTTAACTTATTGACCAAGTTTTTAACCTATCAATCAATTATAAATACATATAAAGTCAAAGTAGCATCTATGAAACTTCTAAGAAGATTCTTTAGAAAATATTATGAAATAAATTTACTTTTATTTATTTCTATTAAATCATATAAGTAAATATTAGAATAAATATATATATATATATATATATATATGACATATGCACTATTATTTAAGATCAAATAATTGGCCCCTATTAAAAATTAAGAATTATCACATTACATTTTTAAATAAATTGATTTATTTCTTAATTTGTAGCAATTATTTTTCAAACGATTATAGTTTGTAATTTTAATTAATTATTATTCGTAATTCTTCAAAAAAAATTCAAAGGAAAAAACCTTGATGGAATTATATATATTATATCAATATTAACAATGGATTCACTGGAATGGACTTTTAATAGAAGTTGTAGTAAAGACTTTTGTGGAAGTTTTAAACATTTTATTGAGACTGCTTCAACTGCACCAGTTTCCACTAATATCTGTTTGTGTATGTATATATATATATATATATATATATGTATATATATATATATATGTATATATATATATATATGTATATATATATATATATATATATACATATACATATATGCCCATAAGTAAACTATTTTTGACAATCCCCAAAATTATGAGAAATAACAACTGAGTACTTGGTTCAAACTAAACAATAGGCTTGCTCAAATATGTTTTGCCATTCGAATGTTTTTGAATTCTACATACATCTTCAGTATCAGTTCGAACTCTTGAGGACAAAGCATAAGCCATAAACATACTTTTTAAAACATGATAAATACAGTGCACAGAAGCAATAGAAAATTGCTTCTAGATGTAGAAATCTTCTTTCACAAATGATTTGTAAACCATTCTTTCAGACATTTAAGCACAAGTTACAGGAATAAGAATAGACAAAAAAGCACCATAATTAACAATCGACTCATATTCAGAAGGTGAAAACCTCCATAAGATAACTATTACAAATGAAAGTACACCCCAACTAAAGCAGGAACGAAAAGTCCACCCTGATATGAAAATCAAATGTCCATTCTAGATCAAAGCTGAGGAAGTAAACGAATGTGATCAGAAAGACTACATCGGGTGACTGTAAACGAGGACGCTTAAACAAAACTGCAAATCGAATGATCAATGCGGAGAAAGCACTCATCTATGCCAAACTCGCTAACCTTGAGACGTCAGTCTCTGCCGTTCTCAGACACGGGAGAAATACTGCGTTCAGAAGGTTGGCCCTGCAAACATACCACGACCAAATGGAGCTTAAGATTGCAAGATTCACAGAATATCTATGAACGAATCGATGATAGTTTGTTTGTCTACGTAAAAAAGTCGAGTCGAAAGGTTTCAAGAACATACACTGAACGGATGAACCCTATACATTATACAGAAGTGTCAGACTATGGAATACTAAGTGCACCACATGGCAACCATGCAGAATTAAGTCTTTCAGCCAAACTGAAGAATGTAACAAGAACCAAACCTAACCAAACATTGAAAAAAGCTTTGAATACCTGAGTTCTTCCATTGGGACTTGGACTATCACGTTTCTCAACATCACTGGGGCTCCTATCGTTGTCCTGTACAGACCGACAAAGGCATTAGGTGAACAAAACATCACTAATAAGGGTATTTAGACAGTTCAGTAACGAATGAATATTCCAATTAACATATCCATACCACGGCCACTGGAGACTTGGATCGGCTTGGACTGGGGCTCCGACTATCTTTCTTCAAAGGTGGTCCCTGTGCAGAGCAGTTTCCAAATTAGACCAAGGAACACAACAATAATTTTAAAGCATAAATGAATCATAATCTTTGACGAGACTTGAAGACAGATTGTACGCGTACCTGCCCTGGAGAGGGTGATCTTGACCTGTAATAAACAAAAACAATCCGAAACGGTAAAAAAAACATTAGGTAATGTAAGTTAACAGAAAATTCTTTCCTTAACGTTAAATGCGATGAAAACTATCGTACATGATGATGACACAAAAGTGTGTTATTAGCAGTCAGAAGGCTATGACTTACTTAGAAGCCGATCGAACAGAGCGAGACCGAGAACGGGATCGAGAACGCGACAGTGAGCGTGAGCGCGATCGCGATGGTGATCGTGATCGGGATCGGGCGGACGCAGGAGTCGCAGAGCGGGGTGAACGAGAACGTGGTGAACGAGAGCGGCTACGTGGAGACTTACTGCGAGAATAGCTGCGCACCCCACACATTCACAAATTAAACCTGACGCCTGATGGGTTCTGGCACAAACTGACACCCTTGTTGAGGAAGACACATACGACCACATTCCTTCATACACATTTGAAATAAGGGAGGCGTAACAAGACCACGCAATAACCCTACTGAGAACCCAATAGTATACCTGCGGCTTCGTGAACGGCTTTTAGTGACACTCCTTCGAGAAGATCCATAACCCTTCTCCTCTTTCACCTGCAAAATAACCCAGGAATCAAAAAAGTCGACAGAAAAGCAAACTCGTCACATATTTCTCTCCAGAAGTAAATGGGTAACTTAAGAGAACATTTAACATCATATCACTATACACGTTCGTCTCCAAGAAGAAATAAGACCATAGACATACCCGTATGAAAGATCGAGAAAATGGGTTGCGAAATTCTGAGTCGTCCAACTTTCGAATCTGCATAATAAATCAGTGTGTGAGTGGAAAATGCCCTTGGAACTATATGAGGTATAACCAACGCCGTTTTAATGTCTTTGGTCATGAAAATATAACTAATACTCATGCGGATTCAATACTTACCGCATACTTCATATCATCATAGTTGGTAAAATCCACAATGCCCATCGTTCCAGCTGAGCCATCACGAAAGACTTGAGCAAAGCAAACATCGCCAGCCCTCCGCATGTGGTCCTATACAAACAACAATGGATTGGACGGTTAAGAATCAAGGACGGGACATGACTACAAAAAAACATGTTATATTAGTTATTAATAGAAATAGTAAGGACTAACATCGAGAGGTAGTAAATCAAGTCCCAATGTTGATAAGAATTGATAGCAACATGTTTACCTTCAAATCTTGCCAGGAGGCAGACGAGGGCAACCCTGTCACCGTAACTGCCAAGAATAATGTGCGAAGTATTAGATGGCTTTACAAACAAGCTCCCTTTCGTATCAAATCCCCAACATGAAAATTAGATGATTGAATGAAGTAAACGACAAGTCAAACCTCTGTATTCTGATCGACGAGAAACTCCTCCTGCACGACCACCATTCTCCGAGGCACTGCCACCTCCTCCCCTTCCACCACCACTGCTGTAGATGCTATAGCGATCCACAGATGCCGGCGGAGGTCCTCGTCCACCATGAGCAATTTCCACCTAATAAATCAAGTGCATGCAAAAAGAAAAGTGGGTTAAGTTACATAAACAACTTAACCAAGAGATCGAACACACACGCACACACACAATCACGTATAGATATAGATATATGTGACTGATTAAAGGATTAGCATAAGGAGAGGCCTCGATCTTTAATCAAACGACCAACCAGAAAACCGAAAACATTACATAATGAGAGTCTCACCCGCAATCGATTGCCGTCAAAATTGTACCCATCCCGACCACGAATCGCATCTTCAGCATCCCGTGCATCTTCAAACTGCAAGTGATAAACTTAAGCGCTTGTATAGAAAACATAAACAAATGCCGTCGTATATAGAGAGAACTATTTTTATGAATCAACATATTCAACAAATGCAAGATGATCGAGAACACAGTCGCTGCAAACCAGCAACGGACAGCTCGTAGGTAGCATTACCTCAATGAAACAGTAACCTGGTGGACGAGGGGGTAACTTCAAGTCGATATCCACGATTCGTCCATACTGCAACCGCACACGAAGCACAATAAATGCAAATTAGACGGAATGTTGGGCAGATGCTGCGGCAACTTCAAAATCCAAATCCTTAGCAGACATTCCCATTGCACTAGAATCCAGTACCTTGTAAAAAAGATCCTCAATCTCCCGCTCTCTTACATCACCCGGAAGGTTGCCAACATAAATCGTTCGACTGGCACGACTGCTCATGTTGTTGAATGTGATAAGCAACACTTCTCACTACTTGAAATCTACGAGCCTGGAGAAAACAATCCACCATAACTGGTCAGAGTGAGCGTTTCAATGCTGCCTATGCTGACAACAACAAAGTACGTTACTAACTAACAAATTCAGCGGACACCTGCTAGTGCTGAAAACAGAAAGCTATGAGGCCAACCAAGAGCGACATCTTTGGTCCAAGCGAAGCCCCTTAAGCTCCACCGCTCCCTCCTTAGCTCCAGAAAGCTCCACAGCTATGCACGACTTAGACAGGCCAATATCCCACTCTCTCTCTCTCTCTCTCTCTCTCTCTCTCCCACCATCCAGTACACAGATTGATCAAAGCCACACCTACCCGGTAGGCCACTGATCCATTCTTACCCTCATCCCTCAGCGTTTCCTCTCTCCCTCATTCACACCTCTCCTCCAACATCACTATAACGTTCGTTACTTATGCTCGCTCCAGCTCCACGCAATCTAATTCCACGGCTTGTCCATGCTCCACGCATAAACCTAATTCCAAATAAGTGAAGATTGGCTGTGGGAGTGAAATGTCGGTCTCCCATTGTACCTTACCTTCACCTCTTTAATCCGACCAAACGACCGCTACCACCGATGCAGATCAGGGCCTCAACAATCACCACTGCACAACGCCACACGTTCTTAATCTGCCTTAGAAAAGCCGCCTCTGCTCCATTTCCGACTAAAAACCCACACCGCAGCCACCAAAAACAAAAGGAAAAAACAACACGAGCTCCACAATTCCACACAACGAGCACACACACTCTCTCACACACACACACGGCTCGTACTCGCCGTGCTTCACTACCCTTCCATCAACTCACACCGCAACAACATACAGACGTAATCCTCCACAAATCCACCTAAACTGAACTCCATCCTCACAAAATCCAATCCTACCGACCAAAAAGTCACTTAAATCCCACCGCAACCGGCTACAGAAACCCGAAGGCAAGCCACAATGAGGATGCATAGAAAGTGTCGCAAATCATCAGGGGTAGGGAAGAAAAGTTCACCGGCAAGTGCGACCAAACCCCGCATGCACAATCCCGCGCGACACGTTGTAGCTCCGCCGATGACGAAGCTACTCGCCGATCAACAGACTGCACTGATTTTGTTTGTGTTTTTTTTCTTTGTTTTTCGTGTGGATTCGCCTCCGGTTTGGGGCTCGCTTCACGAACCTTTTTCGGGCGAGGGTTTTGGGAAGCGATGGAGGGCGCGAAGAGCCGAGGAGGTAAAGAGAGGGGGGAAGGATTTCGCTTATGCGCTAGGGTTTCCTATCGCACCGCTCGCGGCACAGGGCAGCGGATCCGACGATGCGGAGGAGGTAGCGATGGAGAAAACGGTTTCGTGGCCTCCTCCTCCTCCGCTGGGCGGGGCTCACTCGCTTCTTCTTCGCTGGTGGCGCGGGACGCGCTTGCTTGCTCGTGTGCGAGACAGCAACACTCTCGCGCGATGTTATCACACTTCGTATGATGGTTAGGGTTTCGATTTTTGCACTACGCTCGGAAACATGAAAGGTTTATGGAACGACTCTCAAATATGCGTGTAGAATTTGTTTGATTATTTCTTTATTTGTGAATTTATTTGTTTCTTATAGGATTTTTTATAATAACATAATTGTGCATATATTAAGTTTCTTTCAAAGTGAGGATGTAATAAAATGATGCATTTACAAAGTATTAGACCATACATTGGTATTTATTAAATCATATGAGATGTTATCATAGTAGTAGAAATATAAATTAAGTTTAATTAAACATGTATATTTTAAATTTTTCTCATTACATAGAAATAAATATAGAAGAATGTTAAATAGACCAATGTTTTTACTAATTCAACCCACCTATTCTTACCATCATGAAAATAAAAATGACCTCTTGATTCACTCCTCTACTATTAAATCTACAACCAATGAAAACCAACAATGTTTATCATGATTATCATATATATATATATATATATATATATATATTATCTTACATAGGTCAATCTAGTAAAAGCCTTAGTCTGTTTAATATTTTGATAATATATATAAAGTAATTAAATTTAAATGCATTACTATGTATATAATTACAAATTATTTTAACATTTTAATATTTGGTATATTATAAAATTTATTATAATTGAAATGAAATGTTTTTTTATATCATTAAACTCATGTGTTTCAAAAATCATAAATATTGAATTATAGAATATGTCTATGTCATGATATTTGATCTAGAATTTAAAATTATAATAAAGTCAACTGTTATAATTTTATTATACTTCTAAATAAAATCTCAAATTATTACAGACATGAATTTACAAGTAAATCTTTGTTCATTTATTTGGGACTTGTATAATTAAGAAGTAATTTATAGATGTCTAAACATTGTAATAAAAAACATTACATAGTTATATTGTAAAATTCAAATTGTAATTATTTTTTATTCTTTATTTTTTTAATTCTATGACATAATCATTATATTTTTATCTAATAGTGTGAACACAATAATATATTTTTTAGATTTATTATTTTGTGTATTGATTTTAAGACAATTGTATTACCAATTTACACTTCTGATTGTAAAAAAAAAAAAAAAAAAAAAAAAAAACAATAATATAGAATTTAAATATAATATAATTATAAATTATCAAATTAAATAAATTACCAAATTTAGATTCATATTTATAATACTATAAATATATTAATTTTGTAACATGTTATCAATTTTGTGACTTTATATTTATTAATTACTCTAATGACCAAAATTAAATTGATTGATTATTTTATAAGAAATTGTTAAATCCACCCATATATTTACTAAATCAAACCACCCATCATCATTGGTTGCAAATCCAACCATTTTTCATTGGTTTTCAACCTATGCAGATCCAATAATAGAGACTTTTTTGATGACGTTTAAGATGGGCTGGTCGATTTAGTAAATGCCTATGTCAATTTAACAATTGTCATTTTATGTTTAATAATTTAAGAAACCAGATTTCAATTAATTAGGTGCATAAATCAAATACAAAAAGCATCATTAATATCCATAACATTTACATACTATAGAAGTAAGACTATATATTTGGATGATTTAATAAATTGTGTTATAAAAATTAATATATGTCAAAAAAAAAAATTAAACAATGTGAAGATTTTTATAGAAAATTTTTAAAACTTAAAAAAATAATTAATATAGTTTTTGAGGGGTTTTAGAAAATTCTTGCAAATCTTTGTAAATCAATACTTATGTGTTTAAAATACCACTTTTTGCAAATTATTTGAATCTATTGTAGATCTTCTTTTTTAGAAAGCTTTTATTCATATGTTTTTAATTAAAGTTTAAAGAAACTTCTAATGAAGTCTCTATATGTAAATTATCTTGGTTTTTATGAATTAGAAACAAATTTAAGAGTTGAATGAATAAATGTCAAGGTATCTTTGCTCTTTCATCCAAATTTTATGTTCATTTAAAATAATTATATACTTATACACTTATAGTTTTTAGATATTAATTTTTTATTTTTATTAAAATTAATAGAAGAATCTTAACTTGCATAAATTTATAAGGACTTATAAGAAATACTTATCCTCTATTGTATATTTTTTTACCAATTTTGATATGTTTTTATTAAAATGTATGCACTTTTTTTTTAACTCATTGCAAAAGAATATGATCTAAGCCTTCTACATCTAATTAAAATTATATCTATTTTTAATAGTGGATAAAATTATAAAACCTAGTTAATTATTTATATTTAAAATTGTATATATTTTGATATCTAAACTATAAATTCGTACTCTAAAAATTGATCATGCTTGTCAAAAGAGAACACCATAAAATCCACCAAAAATTACAATATGTTGGAAGAAGAAAGAAAATGAGCCACACATAGAATATAGAAAACACTAATCAAGCCACACAAGGTTGCTTCTAGTCTTGTCCCAATATTAAAACTAGTAACATGTAAAATAGATTCTCAAGTAAATCTAAGATTCATATCCACCTAGAGCATCAAGTGTTAAATTTAATGGTAATTTTTGAAAGTATACTAGATCATATGTTGCTCCTACTCTCCTAGTCCACTAAGAATATTTGATTCATCAATTCTTTTTAGTGTGACACCCCCTTGCATAATGTGTGACTTTAAGGAATCGAGGCCCTATACTCAAGGCACATAAACTGTGCACGAGTAGATTGATGCACATGCATCTTGGACTTGTTTCCTTTGAATCAACATTTTTATTCTGCAAGGCTAATCCAGGTCATTTCCATCTCAGTTTGTGTGGATGTTTATTGTCCACTGTTGTTTAATTAAACCTAATTTAAGCCTTCTCTTTGCTGTTTATTAGTTGTACATGTGGTATGGGTCTCTGTGTCTTCATCCTCAAAAAAATTGGTTTATTACACATGGACTTATTTTGAAACATGATTTGTAGCAAATAAGTGCTCAAGTTTGCAGAGTTAAAGCCAGATGGACTCCTTTATTTATATATATATATATATATATGCTTTCAATTCTTCAAAGCAGTTGAAGTTGTTAGCTTGTCTTGAAGGTAGTGAGTGACCACCCAATACTGTATCTATCAGGTGGTCAAGGTTGAGTTTGTTTGAATGATGGATGGATGAGGTTAGTACTGTAATAGCTACCTTTAAAGTATAATACCTTATTCATATATATATATATATATATATGAATATATATTAAAATTTCAAAAACTCAAAAATTCAAAAACAGAATGTTAAAATAGTAGTAATAATAATATTAGAATGGAAAAAACTTTATTTATTTATTCATAAATGATAAATATTATTCAAAATGGTACCTTCTACATTGCTCTCTCTCTCTCTCTCTCTCTTTGTATAGGATCATACACACACACACACATGTACATGAATTGTTCATATGTGCCTTTTTTAATTATAAACTTGAAAGTTACAATCAAGCAAAACCAATTACATGTGTTATCCAACTCAAAAACCTTCTCATTCAAGTTCATGAAACAGATCAAATCACCCCAATTGGGACCCCCCTCCCCAGAAGAAAGCATAACTTGTTGACTAACCAATATGCGAAAACAAAGTTTCATTCCAATGTCCACATACAAATTGCCTCACAAGCATGATACCAAAGGGGAGGGATTAGTGCATGAATGAATGAATGTATGAATGGCCAAAACCCCCATCTTCTCTTGTAGTGCAGTTTTAAGCCCACTCGAGGTAGACATCCCCTGTGAGGATGTTCATAGGCCCTTGCTTGCCTTTGTGCCTTTCCCTGTGCCTTCACTCCCCCCAACAACAACCACAAGCATGGTCTATATCTCAATAGGGAACCCCTCCAAAAGGCTTCTTTATTCTAAAGTGACACTTGGCAGTGATGGTGCACAGGTGGCATCTGGGAGGAGAGGGAGGGTAATGCCATGTTGGATGCCAGGTGGCATCAAAGCTCTACGGATTGTGCCTTTTGGCAAACCTCCCCCCCTTGAACAGAAGGGGAACGGTTCCCAAAGTTGTTCCCAATCTTGTTCTCAACATGCATGGTCCCTTGATCATGTAATGAGTGCAGGGAAGCTGGAAGGGGGGGCTCAGAGAAGAGCAGGGAATGAGTAGTTGGAATATGGGCTCTGTTCTTATGTGGCCAGCCATGTTCCACACAAAGATTGATGATGATAGCAAAACAAAAATAAAAACCCAATGTGTGTAATGTATTTAAGTGAATAGGAAAGATACAGACACTTCCCTCCTTCCTTCCCAGTCATAATATATAGCTTTTTTATTAATTAGTCTTATTAGGAGGGTTGCCTTCATGAGCCCCTATTGAATGCATCCATCCCCTTTGGTGTAGTAAGGAAAGGGGAAATGATTTCATGCAAGGAATTAATTGGAATACAAGGGGGAATCCCCCCCCCCCTCAACAGTGATTGCTAGCGTTTGTTTTGTAATGTATAATGTTGTTGTTGAGATATGTTTCTGTCAAAAGCATTACAAAGCAAATGAGACTTGTGAGAGGAGGGTGGCAGACTGGGAGTCCCCTAAAGAAAAAACAGGGTGTAGGCCATGTCTTATACTGATTTTTTTTCTTGGCATCATGTACCCAACACTACCCTTCTGAACATGACATATCTGGCATGGGATGGATGGATGAAGAATGATGGATGAATATGGATATATTGAGGACGGATGAATGAAATATATTCAAGTTGGATGATGGATGGATGGTGGATGGAAGGGTGGATGGGGCTGCTGATGGGCAACAGCTGATGTGATAGTTCACCTAAGGGAAAAATGGTACATTCTTGGCACCCCCATGCAGATTGATTTTGGGCTGGAGCTCACTAAGCTGCATTGAAGAAGGACCCCCCATACTATCTCATTTCTAGGTACAAAGCTCATAGACCATACAAGGTCTGCATCAATAGAGTGCCCAATATGATTTGCATGGCTTTCAAAATGTTGTATAGCAATTGCCTTGGTTGAAGAGAAAGGAGGCCAACACCCCTAAAAAAGCTATGCAGCCTCTTTCTACCTTTTCCTTTTCCTTCCTTCTCTCTCTCTCTCTCTTTTTTTTTTTTTTTTTTTTTTTTTCCTTTTCCTTTGAAGCATTCTTGTAATGCTGTTGCAGGGTGACTGTTGATCATTTAATTGCTGTGATGCTTGAAAACGTCAGCTGTGGGTGGGGGCACGAGGCTTTATTGACTTCACGAATTACTTTCCCAGTGGTGGTTTCTGCTGGGACGGGGACGGTATATATATGTTTAGATACCCGGGCGTACACCGGACCTGACCTGACCCAGCTGTGATAGGGTCTGCGGCGGGCGTCGAGGGGCGGGGAGACGGAGCTGCGCCTGGCGAACGATGGCGATGATGCTGCTGAGCCTGGTTAGCTTTTGGACAGCCCTGCGTCAGATGGCAATCAATCATGCATTGCCTTGGCGAGCGAGTGCAGTCAAACGCCTCCTCGTCCTCTCCAGGCTCCGATTACCGTAGGCCAATTCTCGCAGCCTCTGTACTTTTTTCAGACCGAAGGAAGCGGTTCTGCGTGAGGACAGGCACAGGGGCAGTGAGTGATCTTTCTCGAAGTGTCGTCACGCTGTTGAGTTGCACTGTGGAGTGATTCAAATTTTATGCAGGGTGTGATGAGATTGGAGTAAGCGGTGGAGGTCCGAGCGTGTCGATTGAGACTCTCTGGTGAGACTCAGGTTAGGACGACGTAGTGCATTATCGGTGCGGTGTGTTGGCGAAAAACGGCATTGTTGTGAGACGTTCTTGTTTCTCGGCTCTTTGAAGGCGTGAGTGGTACCATTGGCGAGTTGGCGAGGTTTTCGGCGAAGCTGACGTTCATGTTATTGCCGCGTCTTGTTGTTAGCTCGTTTTTAGCACTTTTTAGCACTTCCTGTGCGCCAGCCTGTAGAATTCGTGTGCGTTCAGGCCTATGACAAGCTTTCTTGCAGACACAAATAAGTCTATGCTCATTTTGATCTGAGTTTTTTTGTTTTTTTTTGTTTTTTTTTGTTTTTTTTAATAATCTGCGTCTGAGTTGAAGGTTTTAGCTGTCGAATTGAAGCGAGCTAGTTCATTAGATCTTGACCTTATTGCTTCTCGAGTTAGTACTCTTCTTGGATTGGTGTAGGTGGTACTTCGACAGGTCTGCAGAAGCTCATAACCGTTGAAAACTTTTCCCTGACAACAGGTATTCGTATCCAGATTGCCTCGTTGCATTTGGTGATTCTACTGTATTTGTGCTTTTTGTGGACAGATTTGGTGATCATCTTGGTTGAGTGTAGCGCCTCTTAAAGACATTTAGTGGTCGGAGCAGACAATGTTTCTGTACCGTGGAAGTCATCGGCACTAGACTCAAAACTCTGCACAGCATTTTTAAAACTAAGCGTGTGTAGTAGATTTCACTTTTGCTGCGTCAAATCAATGTCTCTGGCCACTGCAATTTACAATATCGTCGAACACAGGCCACGGGTGTAAGTGCCGGATTAATTAAAGGGAATCCAGCGTGCCTCACTGAATCAATGTAGTGATCTTTTTATTTCGTTTCTCCATCTTGAACTGCTCAGTTAAGCATATTGTCTAGTGCAATCTGCAACGCATTTTTTAAAAAAATGTTTCTGGTTTTCTAGAAGCATTACGCTTAAGTAGGACAAATTGATTGCCAGTTCGACAGGAAGATCTGGATAGGATGTATCTGTGTAATTGTTGTGCGCAACTCATCTAGTTTTTCCGGTGGCGTTTGAAAGAAAGACACGAGCTTTTGCGCAGATGCAAGCTTGTGCTGACCTGGTGCGACTCCTTGCTCTAGCCCCCCTGTTGTTGAAAATAAATTAAAAAAAATAAATGTGAGGCCTTTAAAATCTTTTACTAGTCTAATGCAATGAAAATTCTTGTAGTGACCTTTTACTTGTGAATACCAACTAGCCTCAATTTGTAGAGTTTCAGGACTGACAAAAATGATTGTACCCGTGCTTCAGATCTCTTGTGCTTCGAAATGAAGAAGCAATTGTTCTTACCGGGTATTCCATCTTTCTTAAAAATGAAAGTGATTTACATTTCTATTGTTTCATCTTAGAAATGTTTTGTCCTCGTAATGCAGGAGTGTTGAGTGGTTTGTAAGTGATTCACATTTCTTTGTAGCAATCGTAAGACCTTAAAACAGCATCCTCTATGTTATGATAAACCTCTCACACATTTCTCCAGGCGCGTTGCTTGAGCAATCTGAATGCTGAATCTGAATAAGCACGTGCTTGACTGTTTTTGGTGCAAGTGAGATCATCAATAGCCCAGTGTTTGAAACTTTTCAGGAACTAGGTGAGGGGAGCTCAATGCAGGACATACCTTATGATGTGTCTCATGTTCCTATTGACTATGACGAGCCTTTCAATGTAAGCTCGTCAAACTTTCGCTCCACAAGGCATAGATCAGATAAATCTTAGGATTCTTATGCACTTGGTTGTTCCGACGCCTTGACATATTTGGGCGATGTCAACTTTCTCATGAGTAGCCGTTTCCTGAGCACAGGTTAATGAAGTGAGTGCTAAGATTTCAAATAAAGATGCAAGTCGGAAGCGAAGAGAAAAACGAGTTTCTCTTGAGAAGGATGTGAGTTTCTTCATTAACCTTGGAACTAAGAGAGATCTTTTTATTTAAATTTTGAACTGGTCTAGAACTTATACATCGCGTTCTCATTGCTGCTCCGGACTGTTCGTTATGTTTGAACCAGATTGCCAAGCTGCAGAAGAAGCTGATGATTGAGGTTAACATGCGTAATGCACTCAATCGTGGGCTCAGCAGGCCTCTGGGTTCTCTCCCTCGAATATATGGCTGCTTACCTGTAGAGGTCTGTTTTTCATCCTTATGTCCTGATGCCATGTAAACGGAATGCAGACTGCTGGATTAGGTTTAGAGTGTAGTTAGTAATATGTAACCCGGTCTTTGCAGTCGTTAAGAAAAGCTAGGCATCAGTCTCATACCTGATGTGAACCAGCTATAAATGCACCTAGGATGAGTGATCCACACTTGATGTACAAAATTAGGCCGTCGCAATCGAGATCCTAATTTTAGGTGAACACGGGAGTGCCGGCAAAAGATCTCTAACAGGGATTGTGCTCTGTAATGTGAAATGTCGAACGTTTTGGGAAGTGCAGACGAGAGAACTGCTGCTCGAAGTGGCGGTACTGGAGGAAGAAATCATGTCCCTCGAAAAGCAGGTCATCTGCCTCGGGAGACAAATTGTAAGTGAGGTGCCTCCAATGGATAAGGAGCATATCTGGCGCACCCTTCAGCAAATATCATGTCCGGAGGAAGCCGATGTCGTAGTCTCACCTACCGTAGCTTCAAAAAACTCTGCTAGAACTCACTCAAAGCCCACACTGTCCCCAGATAAGACCTTTGTTCAGCAAAGTAACAGCTCAAAGCCTTTAACCTCTGCGGGGAAAGTTGTAGAAAATAAATGTAGCTTCCGAAAGGTTTCAATCTCTTCTGGAAACTCTCTAGACAATGGCAGTTTTATCAAACCTCCAATGTATCCAATGAATTCCTTCGAGCCGAGGCGCACCAGCCTAACAATACCTCCAACGAAATCTCAAGTCCAGAGGAATAACCCTTTTCAGAAAGTATTGCCTGGGAATTCCAGGGACCTCAAGAGCAGAAAAATTCTTTCCGTAGGGAAAGAGCAACATGATGTATATTCGTCTGTCGGACCAACAGTGCCCTTCATCCCAACGCAACCGAGTGATCTAAAAGAAAAGATTACATCGCCTGTATTACCTGCTCCTGGAAGTCCCCACCATGTAGGTAAGAATTCTACGAAGTGTCGGAGAATGAGGACTGAAGATGGGAAGGCACCGATGAAGTCACAAAATCCATTCAAAAGGAAAGATCCGATTGACAACAAAGTTCCACCTGCAGGTTGCAATCTCAAACCAACCAACACTCCTGCATCACGAGGACAAAACAAGGGCCCAGTGGACCTAGCTATGCGTACCCCTCGTCTTCCACGTCAGCCCTTAATGTATGGCACCCAAAGGGAACTGAAAGCTTCGACGGCGAAGAGAGTACAGAGAACGGAACACACTCGTACAACTTTAGCAGCACCAAACATGTGTACATCCCTCAACCACGATTCAAGCCCTCAAACTCACTGTCAGAATCCTGATGTTTTTGGGACTGCTAAGAAAGATTCAAACCACGTGGGCGTTCCATCCACTGTCACTCTTGATGGAGATTGCAGACAGACTGGCGTCTCCCCAGCCCAAGCGAGGGTACCTCCTATTTCATTACTCTAGGCACCTGCATGCAGCAACTGAGAAACATTTGAATGTTTCATTCTTTCCATTTATACGGTTGCATTTCAGAATGAGAAAAAAAATCCTCGTGTTTGAATAAGTTTTAAGAATTTCATGTCACTCAAGAGCTCGTTCTTTCCATGCGTGTTCTGTTACAGATCCATGGATTTTGTCTCAATGATCGTATGGAGCAGGAAAGTCGATCAACGTGTTCACCGGAAACAAGATCCCAACTAAGTTCGGAGCAAGTAGCCGACTCAATTTTGCTGTCTGTTGAAGTGGTCAAGCTGCTCGAAAAAATATATGCGAACATGAATAAGAAGCAATCTTCCTTAACATCTGAACCTAATTCTTCGTCTCAAGCTTCCATGTCAACAAGTCTTTCCAGTACAAGCCCTGACGACTACGAGATGACGAGTGGCACTAATATGAAATTCAGGTTGGATGATTTTCATGCTGAGAGTTTTAGAACGGAGACAGGTTCTACCACGAAATCTATTCGACTTTACTATTCAGGTGAAATTGAGAATTCGCTGGATCTTAGCAGGGGCAATATAAGCAACAGAGTGACAGGTTTCCGTGAAAGGTTGATGTAAGTTTTCTATAATTACGCTTGTACTCTTGTTTGGCTTTTCGTCAAATCAGCTCATGAAAGAAACAAATCAACTGTTTTCTTGAACCGGCATGATTGCGTTTACGCAGGGGATAAAAAATGAAGAGTCGTTCAATCAGAAGGAACTCCAGCTGCTACACCAGGCATTTGAGAGTTATGCAGTTTTGTTTTGCAAGTTGGGTTTAATTGTGCGCTTGTTGGATATGCTCGAAGGAGCTAAAAGGAGTGGAAACGAGATAAAATTTTCTTCATCACTTGATATCTTCTGTGCACTTCAGCTTAAAGCACGTCAGTGCACTTACCTCACTGTTGTCAAACAAGCAATCCGCACTAGGAGCCAACATATTTTGGCATGGAACACCTGAACAATAAGATGACCTGAATTTTATCCTTAATTACATACAATTTGTATAGCGTTAATGGTATCGTGTGGGAGGACACAAGAATTGCAACTATCTGTAAAAACTAATCACAGTTACATGATAAAAATCACACAGGAATTAGGTGAAGAACGGCGCATGAGATCCGATGTCCGTTCCAAGGGGCAGATTACAATTGCAGAACCAACGAAGAGGTAACTGGCAGGTGTGCATTTGAAAAGAGGTCACTGACGCAGTCTGAATTGATTTTACTGGCGGTGAGTTAATCGACCTTATCCTCCATTTCGTGTTTCTATGCTCAACGGCAACTCAGAATTTTCAAGTCACACTTTTACCCCCCTTTAAAATGTATCATCACCGATCTCGCAAAAACGGTTGTTTTCTCTTTCCAAAAATCTGCTTTCTTGGAGAATGGAAACATTTTTTCCACCAGTAACACCTACAGGATTGCTCTCAAATGAAAATAACAATGATCTTCAGGAGCGTGATGATCACAGCTCAAAAATGGCACCACCCAAGTTCAATACCGGCAATTGTTTAGGACACAAAAATTGCAACGACTAGTGAACACTAATCAAAGTTGAATGAGAGCAATAGATGGACAAGCAGCGTCGTCGCCTGTTTCTTCTTCGAAGAAATCGATACTAGCCATGTGGTAAGTGAAAGACATGCACACATCACAGCACCTCAGAAATATCTTAATCCCATCTCTTTTTAAATATCAGCTATTGTACCCAATTTAAGTCTCTGCTTTTGAAAGACATGATTTCAGTTACAAGTTTAATCATCGTCTAGATTTGCTACCCAACAGTTGGTTCTTTACAGAGTTTGAGATGTACATGCAGCTGATTCTTAACTATGAAGTGGTAAAAATCACCATCTTCGTGATATTATTTGAACTGTTCTTCTTTTAAATAACATCAACTTTTGTCTTGTTCACGAATTTGGCTTTTTTGCACAACTAAAAATATAAATTGTACAAAAAAAAAAGCTTCAAATCCTCATTAAAAATAGTTGACCTGTAACTGTAGATTGTTACAAATCTCTAATTATAGTAATAATAATAATAATAATAATAGCAAACAAAGATTGTTACAACAAAATCTTTACTTTGTTACTAAATTCATTAAAAAAATCAAAATTAAAATTGACGCCATTTTGGTTACTTATATACATGTTCATGAATGTATGTTTACATGACAATTTGAAATTTGAAAACATAATTTATTAAAATTATTAACAAACATTATCTTTATTCATAAATGAAAGACTGTCTTTGTTTAATGGATTGGATGTTCTTTGTTTGGTGAATTGAAACAAAAGATATAAATTTGTAACAGTTTTGTTAATATCTTTCTTGCAGACTCTAACTTTGTTATATATAACCAGCAAATTTATGAAATTCAGATTTATATCATGTAAAATCCTACTTTTGCTATACAATAAAATAAAATAAAATAAAATATTTTTATTTTTTAATCATAAAATAATGTTTTATGAATTATGTATATATATATATATATATATATATATTCTCATCCATCTATAATATTTCTAATTAAAATTTACTTCAAAAAGCATTAAAATATTTAAAATTGTATCTTATGGATATGATAAGATTTTCAACATTTGTTTTTAATTGGAATTTCACTATTAGAGTATTAATAACTTATATTTCATGATATTCATTCAATCAAATATTCACATAAAATTCCTTTAAGGTATTGAAGTCTACAATATATATATATATATATATATATATATATATTAACAAACAGATTTGAAAAAATCGAAATAAATGTATTAGTTAACTTACTCATTTTATGTTAATTTTTAAAAATAAATGATCACAGATTTAATTTTAAATATGAAATACACATTAGTTGATGTTATTTTTTTACTGTTAATCAAATGTTTTAGAAGAAGTACCAAAATGGTTTACATATTTATTTAAATTTTTATTGAGTAGGAGGAATTCACATTCTTTTTAATAAACACCTTTCGTTCTTTTGGCTTGCTCTGAAGTCCAGTGACACTTGTATGGTATTTCCAAAATATGTTTTATAGTGACAGTGAATACAACTGCAAGCTTATATTTGATTCACAAGTGATTCAAAGTTGAACATCAAAATCTATTACAACCATTGAATAAATTTGAATTATATTTATTGATTACATCAAAACATTTTTTTTTTTTTTTAGTTTTTATTTAATAAATGAATTTATGACAATAACCGGATAAGACATTATATGTCCAAAGTAAATTACCCAAACTATAAGAGGTTTACTTTAATTTCTATAACTCAAATAATCACAAACCTCATCAACTTGTAGTAAAAAGTATATAAACATGTGTGTGCATATATATACACACACACACACACACACACATATATATATATATATATATATATATATTAAGTGCTGATGTGAAATAAACCACATCCTTTTCAACTTAGATTGGTACATGGATTGGCTAAGAGTTGACCATGACACATGGGAAGGAAACATGACTTTGGCATGCTTCGATGGTGTTGACTTTTGCAATGTAGCAACTTTTATAATTCATTCTTCTTCTCCTTTTTTTTCTCCTCTTCTTAACTTCAATTCTATGATGTTGACTTTTTGAAAGTGACATATTTATTTTAGGTGCGTAGTTGGTCAGCCAAGAGAGAGAGAGAGAGAGAGAGAGAGAGAGTGGGCCCATGTGATGATCCTTACATTTGAGTTTCATTGTTGCCTAAAGTAGCAAAAGCCCATTCTAAAGCATTTTATGTTGACTTTTGAATCAAAAGTTTGTTTTACATTTTGGACTTTTGAAAGTAGTATTTTACATTGAGTATTATTCTTGTTATAGTACGAGCTTTCACATAACATAATAAAATGCATAGCAATTGCATTTGTGGGCACATGTTTGAACTTTGTAGATCACTCTTGGCTTGTTCTAATTGATCTTCATTTTAAAATAAAGAATACCTTGTTTCAATTTTGATTAAGCATTGTATGTATAATTTCAACAAATCACTCAAGCAACTGTACACATGTATATGTATAGGAATGCTTGCAGGCTCTGTTTGACAATATTATCTTAAGTATATCTGATGAATTATATTATATTGCTTTTCAAACTGTCAAAGCCTTTTATTATTATTCTTTATTGGACAATGCAAAAGACTTTTGTTTCTACAGTAGGAATATAAAATGATAAATACAGTATTATGCTTTTGCAACCACTCTACTTAAAGCCAGAAGTCTTTTTCCATTTGAAATGAAAAAAAAATAAAATAAAAAGATAGTGTAACCTCCTATGTAGTAAGAAGCACATGGCTATTTATGTATGACATGCTATTGAGCATTATGCCACAGTTTGTCTTCTGCACCATAGTTTCCATTTTTCAATTTTCAATTTTTACTGAGTATTTTAGATACATATTTATTTTGTGAATTCTTTGAAAAAAATAACATAGACTTCCGTGTCCATTAAATTTTATACTCGTTGTTTTCAAGTGTGCATCTGAACTAGCAATCAGATTATAAAAAGAAGTATATCGACATATATATATATATATATATATATATATTAAAACTAGTATTTTTCTCTATTTTTACATTTGTAACATAATTTAATCAAATCAAGATGAACATGTAAACTTGATTTAATTTACTTGTAAAATATAAAATTTGTTGAATTCTATAGAACTATCTATTTAGATTTGATCCAAAAATATTATGTAAGAAATATATGTGTATATATATATATATATATATATATATGATATTTTTACTACTACTTGTTTACAAAACATCCCCAATTGATATTTTTACACTCTATGTAATCTCTACATGACTTCAATTTACTATAAAGAATGTTTCAATGCTTAGAACGCCTTTGGCAACTCAATAATTAATCCTAATATTAATCGTAAAATAGAATCAATTGAAAAATCAATTTTTTTTGTTTTTGTTTTTGGCAACCAATAAAATAACAAATCAAAAAAAAAATTTGATTTTTTTGAATTGTAAATTTTTAATTTTATCTTATTACCACTAAATACTTGAATAATTCAAAATTTAATCCTAATGTTCTGTACACATTAACAAATTCCATTCACATACAATTGATATGCATTACATCATTGCATAAGATTTTAAAACTCAATTCATGAAAGTGATATACCCAACAAGACACAATTATTAAACCTTCATGAAAATCACTCATGTTTCTTGTTGCAAGTTGGATTATATTATTCTCTTACTTAACTTTTATTAGATTAATAAATCAATCAATCACCTTAGTGAACACAATTCGTATGATTATTCAGTAATATATATATATATATATATATTGAAACATGTGTATTTTTGTATGCTAAAATAATACAGCTGTGAATATGAAATCAATTGTCAAATCACACTTGACAACCTCGCAGTCAGAGTTCGGATATAGTAATGAAAAAGCTCATCAGATATGTTTGTAACAGAAAACAAATAAAACATTTAAAAAAGGGTCATAAAAACATCATAGTCAATGATATTTGAAGCTTTTTTTCTAGTAGAGTTATTTGTCACATGTACTTCAGTCATTAATGCTCCATCATGACCAGTCAACTCAAGTACTGATTCTGTAAATGTACCCAATTCTATTTATTGTATTCAATGCTTTATACTTATATTTATTATTTATCATGATAATACAAATGTTAAATCATTTTTCCTCCAATTGAGTGCAAGCGTACAAAATAGTCGTTGGTTGTTATAACACTCACTTTTTGATTTATTGTTGAATTTTTTAATTCATTTCTTTATTTTGTTTTATTTGTAAAGGTCAACATCACAATAACTTAAAATTTCAAGGAATTGTTGAAAAAATAGTTAAGCAATCAATATCGCTTTTATTTTCTACAAAATTTAAGCTTGAACATCTTACATAAAAAAAGCCACTTTCTCACCCCTTTCTTGTCACTACATATTTTATACTTTTACATTTTAAAATTATGATTATGATTATAAATTTATTTGTTTATTTTCCTTTTTTTCAAGCAATGAAACCAACCAAATCAAAGCCAAATAATATAATCTCGAATTTGGCTATACATATATACAATGTTACAAACAACTTCAACAAAGACTTCATTCCTATTTGCTTAGCTTATTACAGTAGCAGGCACAGAACCAATAATAAATTTATTTTCATGGGTAATCAACATCCTTACCTCAATCTAATATTAAAAAAATATAAATTAATACATCTATAAAAAAATAAAAAATATATATATTCATTTGATTGAATATTGTTTTCTTGTAAATGAAAGATCAAGTTTAGAAACATTAATAATAAATAATAATAAATCCCACATAATTAGAGACCCCAAAGCTCATAAAATTCCAACGATCCTTCTATCCATCCACCATTCATCCACCACCCATTCATCCACTCGCACGTTCACTTAGCATTCATCCGTCCACCCATTCATTCATTGGGAAGCAAACAGGCACAAGGTGCCAAACACCCAAAGATGATTGTGGGTTATGTCAAGCTGGCAAGGGGAGAAAATCATTCATCCAAAACGGATGAAAACACACATGCCCCCCCCCCTTCCTTTGATAGAAGTGCCCTATTCGTACTTGGGGGGGGGGTGAACCCACACTTTAGTAAGGGCTTTGATTGCACACATCCTTTTTCAGCCATAAATAGAAATAAATACAAAAAAGCGAGAGCCTTCCTTCAATGAAGTGCCTCATTTGTGACTTGACTTGATCCCATTGACCCCCCTTTTCCTTTAGACCACCACAATTCATTCATTCATTCATTGAATGGACGAGTCCCCTTTAATGCCCCACCCCAACCACCGCTTCCTCCTTTCTCATCCATAAATTCATTCATCCAAACATCCGTCCAATTTTGGCCGACCACCCGCCCGCGTCGACTTGATGGATGTCATCCTCCGTTGCCAGCATAGCCCATGGCTCACCGAGTAGTCACCTTGGAAGGATTCGAACCCACGCGCACTCGAGCACCCGATATCGAGCAAGTGTTTTGGGTGACGTGGAAGTGGATATTGGAAAGGGGAAGGGGTTCGGCCAACGGGTAAAGCCTCCGACGTGGCACTTCGAAGAAAAACCGCGAGGGTTGACATTACAAGACGGGCCGGGCGGGGACTGGAACTGGAACTGGAAGTGGAAGGAGGGGGACGGGTCGGGACAAAATAATACCAGTATATTATTAGTATTCCCCAATTTGGTTTGGCTTATTCCTGGCGGTGCTTGTTCCCACACCCAGGGTCAAATATTTGTTGTTGTTGCCATATTTAGCGATATCTTCAGAATCTCTAATCATGAATTTGCAACAGTTGTGTCGAATGTTCTCACAACAGGATATGATTCTTGTTGTTACATTTATTTATTATTTTACACAGCAAACAACCCACATGAGGAATAAAACCGAGAAATTGATGAGAATGAATATGAGAGGCGTTGGAATAGGGTTTGTTTAATAAAACTTAAGCTACCTTCCAAACGCATCAGTTCTCCCACACATACTCACAGATCCAAATCTACATCTCCTGCACTCATGGATGAATTCCGGTGAATGAATGAATGAAAATGACGAATAGAGTGGCGAAGTGATGAACGGACTTCGTTTTTGGATGAGAAGTGGACAGGGAGAAAGAATTAGGGTTTTGACGAGAGCAGTGTTGTAGAAGTCTTCTTTCTGAGTGAGGGAGTGAGTGGCGCAGGTTTCCCTGCTGCTGTGCTCTGCTGGTGCTGGTGGTGCTGTAGTAAGTTAGTAGTAGTAAGTAGTAGCTGGATGTGCCAGATGTGTCATAAAACCCATCACTCCCCTTCTGTTTCTTATTTTATTATATATATATATATATATATATTTGTGTTTTTTAGTTTATGTAGTGAAGTAAGCCAGAAAAGTCTTGAGAGTTATTAGTTGTTGCTGGGTTGACAATCACATGAGTAGTTAAAAGAGCATTTCCTCACACAAGCCCCCATCCCCTACTTCACATCGAGTAAAGAAAACAAGACTAGGGCAAACTCAACTCACTTACTCACTCACGTATAGCAAAGAAGAAAGGAAAAGAAGTGGAGTTGATACAGAAACAAATAGCAGTGAATGATACAAAATGACTGTTGAGCTGGAAAGAAAAGGGCTCTGTGTTCAAACTCTCGGTGGGGCCGGGCCGGGCCGGGCCGGATGGAGTGGGGGATGGTTCCGTGGGCCTTGGGAAGTGGGGTCAACCCTGCCCGCGCCCGCGATTGCCATGACGCGAGCGGCGGAGACGAGGCCTTGCAGCCCACGCTGGCCATGGCGATGGCGAAGGAGGAGAAGAAGAGTGGTGGGAGTTTTGAAGAAGAAGAAGAAGACGAAGAAGGTGTTGTTGTTGGTTGTTGCTTCGCAACGATTCACTTGGCCGTGGGATCGAGTGCGTAATGACGATACCCAACTCCGTGTGGTATATAGCTATATTCTTCTTCCGTTTCGCCTTCCATTTCACTAATCGCGTTGAGCAAAATCAACTGTCGTCGCCCACTCACCGGCTTTAACAACAGTGGGGTCAATCGCTCGCTCAGCCGATCACGCTCTCTCACCGTCGTCGTTTCCGCCTCGCAAGTTAACTTACAGACGTTCATCTCCTACGTCTCTCTCTGCAGCGAGATACAGAATAGGGGCTGCTGCATTCTTATATTTTGTTTTCCCGTATTGTATCGTTTTTTTTTTTTTTTTTTTTTTTTTTTTTTGCCTGTTATTTTTTTGGGTTGGTTTTGTTTTTCTTGTGTCTCTTTTTCGGGCGAAAGTGTTGATGGTTGGGATAGCCAGCGCGTTGTGGACTTTAATTTGACGCTTGCGAGGTCATGGCCGAGTAGGCTCCGACCGCGGGCGCGTTTAAGAGGTGGTTTTGGGGTGCAATGGGTTGTTTCTATTCGTGAGCGGAAAGGTTGGAGATCCGCGATTAGACAGACTCCGGTAGCAGTGAGTGTCTGTGGATTCCTGAGAAGCTGGGGTGTCTTCGATAGTGCCGAAGCGGTTTTTATTTTTTAGTTTTATTTTTTATGGGCTGCGAGGACGAAGGCGTGGTGCGGAGCGCAGGTAGGCGAACGTTGGGTTTTGAGGTGTCAATGTGATTCTGTGGCACTTTCCTTGTACCAAATCGACACAGACTTGAATTGAGTGTAGGTTTCAGCATTTTTTTTTTTTTTTTTTTTTTTTTTTTTTTTTTTGTGTGTGTGGCAAAGACGAACTTGTAGTGCAAACGGTGACCTCTGTTCTGCAAGTGATTATTTTGCGTGCCTCGAGTGATGTGTACTCAAAGAGAAAGCGCGGTCTCTCCACTTGCATGCCTCGATTTGGGTGCACTCTCTCTCTGAGGGAAACAGAGTTACCTAAACCCCATCAAATTAATCTACCTAGAGGGAGGGACTCAGCGAATCTAAGAGGAACACCTCGTTTCGTTTACTCAACTATCATTGCTTGCCTTCGAGAGGTTGCATACTCTTCTGTCGAGTATTTGGAGCTTGTTGTTCAGTTTTTGTAGGCATTGTTCATTGAGTCAGAACATTGTCTTGTGTTGGCAGACCCCATTTCTGCGACGACATGGAGTTCAGCTACTCAAGAGAGTAGGCCGATGGCAGAAAGGGGGGTTGGCTGGGGAAGCTGAAGTCACGACTGGGTTTGCTGGTAGGATTCAGTCTGCACTCGTGCCGTGGTGAAGATGGGTGCCTTGGAGGTTTTAGATTATAACTTCACAATGGGGAAGAGAGACAGGGACTATGAAGTGAAAGAAGCTGCAAGAATGGGAATAGAGAGCGCCCGGAAGCTGCTTCAGTCCCTGGCGCAGGCGCAACCCGCCGTTGTAGACAAGGAATGCGACGCCATTGCCGAAGCTGCCATATCTAAATTCCAGAAGGTGGTTTCCTTGCTGAGCCGCACGGGACACGCAAGGTTTCGCAGGAGAACGCGTGACGCTACGGTCGCGGGATACGCAGGTGTATTTTTAGAAAACTCGAACTTTTTCACAGATAACGCGCAGGCCCAGGAGATAAAAGAGAGATTCGTCTCCTCTGGCCATGGTAGCCCATCCCCGTTCACCCCAATAGCCCCATCGAAACCTCCGCAATTCCCTGAACTGCAGCGTATCCTTTATCAGGTATGTTCTACACTTCCATACCCATCTAAGATCGGAAAGCTTCAAACCGTTGTTGCCTGCTCTCTGCAGCTGTTTGAACAACTGACACTGAAATGATCAGTTTCTCATAGGGTGTTGACGATTTTCCAATTGACCAGGTGTTTCCTCCAAGCTCTCCTGCTTCCACTGCAGAAGCCTCCGTCCCTAGCGGTTCAACACACAGCGTCCTCCATCCCACGGCGAAAGTCCACCACCTTCTGCACAGCGCCCAACAAGGGCAGCAAACACAACAAGGCCTTCCAGAGCATATATTGCGTCCACTAGCTGCTGCGTATCGACCAGTGCTTCCTCCAAATCCTTTCAACAAGCTCGATGTGAGCTACAAGGGCCCAAGCCCTGGCAACAGTTCGTTAAGCTCAGGGCCTCTTGAATCAGCCACAACTGTGTCCTTCTCCAACATCAGCGTTGACAGGAAGAGCCAACAGACTGGCAAATCATCAGATCATCCGTCGCTATTACCTCCTCGGCCCCAGGCGTCGAACTCCCGGAAAAAGTGCTCCGGCAAATCGGACGAGAACGGCGCCACTTGCGCAATCCTTGGCCGTTGTCACTGTTCCAAACGCAGGTACTCACACGATCACTACCATACCTTTCCACCCAAGCAGCCATTCTTACATGCAAATGCTAGGTGTTAGATCAGCAATGGTGATTTCGAAACCTGCCCAAAAACTCCATTTCTGAAATCGACTGCGCTCCACAGGAAATTGCGGTTGAAGAGGACAATTCAGGTGAGAGCCATCAGCAGCAAGTTAGCCGACATACCGCCGGATGATTACTCGTGGCGCAAATACGGCCAGAAGCCTATCAAAGGATCACCGCACCCAAGGTACCCACCTACTGCATTTCTCACATCCATTTACGAACTTGCAGCTCTATGTGTGCATGGTTCGCATTGCCTGTGGGCGTTGAATACTCAACAATGGGCACCATGCCGGAATTTTGCTTGCAGAGGATACTACAAGTGCAGCAGCATTCGCGGATGCCCAGCCAGGAAACACGTTGAGCGATCCATGGAAGATCCCACCATGTTGATTGTCACCTACGAAGGCGAACACAACCACCCACAATCATCGTCTGCGAATGGAGGCCTTTCAGTGCAGTCACAATAGAGATAAGCTTGCCATGTTGCTCACAGGGCAACACACACACACATACACACACACACACAGTCACAAACACTCTTTTCATACTCACATAGGACCTGTGGAAGTATCATTGCAAGTTTGTACCCATTTTGTACTCCATTTTTTCATTTCCAATTTTTCACTGTTCTTTCTGTAAAGATAATCATCTAGGGTACGTTGTTCGCTGTCCGATGAGGCTTGCTCGTGTGCAAATGTGTAGTGTTAGTACTCGTTTTAGTTGTTTTTTCAGTTCTTTCTGTTTTTTTGAATGTTTTTGTTAATCTTGTCTCTAATTGGGCTATTATCATTCTGCTGCAGTGCATCCAACACTGTTTGCAAATTTCTATGGCTGTCAAACAGTAGCTCGCAATTCCTTGGGCTTAATTCCCATAGCGTTCAGGAATGTGCACGAAAACACCTATCGTAGAAGGATAGATTTCATGTGAACATCAAGCAGTATGAGGCGATTAAAGGATTTAACTTAGAGCTTTTGTTTGTTAAGATCTTATTCATTTAATCTATCAACCAGAGTGTTAGTACAGATTATGAGGGATGTCTTAGAGGTGGATGAGTAATGATTGTAACTCATGGACAATACCTCCAAAGTAGACAATTAATTGGAGTTTATAATATTTATTGTCGTGCTCAGCAGTACGTGTTTTCGTGATTGAGTTAATGCCAATATTTCAGTTTGTTTTTCACATGTGCTCTAACTTTTTTGCACAAGTTGAGTGATTCTGACATTTCTGGTCATTTGTTGCAATTCGTTACAATTTATCGCATTGCAAATAGAGCGCAAGACGTTGTTCCTAAATAAATGATACGAATGACGACAACACAAAATTCGGAATAAAATGATTCGATTGTGCTGGTTGTTTTGAAGGTGATTTTGACATGGTAGTGCAAAACCTTCTTACTACAAACTAACTGTGGTTGAAAAGACATTGTTAAATAACCACCATCTTGTTGTGTTACATGTATATATATATATATATATATATATAAATGTCTCTCTGTGTGTAAGTAAAGTATACAATCACATGTATAAATAATTAGTTGAAACATATATCAAATAGAAGTTAAATAGAGGTTAAATAGAAGTTAAATAAAGTGTGTCTACATACCTCACAGTAAGATTTCAAAACTATTATGAAGAATATAAGTGATTTCAAAATACATGGTTGAGTTGATAATCTTTTAAGATGTAGTTGTTACATACTACATACACAGTTAATATTATGTGGTTGTTAACATGATACTTTTGTAAAAGAAAAAGCAGCAGTGATATGAACCTTAAAGATGAAAGATTTCTTATTGTAGTCTTCTAGAGGTTTTTGGTTCTATTGAAATTAAACCTGAAGAGGTTAAACTCTCAAACTATGCTAAAATTACCTCAATACTTAAAAAAATTATATCAGATAATTTACAAAATTGAAAGGGAAAAGGAGAGGATTGTTTTGCATGGATAACTTCTATATTGTTCTGAAAGACAATACAAAATCAAGACTTTGTTATTCTTAAGTTGGATTAGATAAGGAAATTCTTGCTCATTTTAATAAAAAAGTGATCCTTGTTGGTATCATCTAATGAAAGAATCTCAGATAAGTTTTTGTTTTTTGTTTTTTTGGTTTTTTTTATTTAAACATACATAAATTTTGCACTAGGTAATAAGCAATAAATTTGAAGGTAACACTAGTAAAAAATAAAACATTTTTTTTTTATCCATACATTTTTTTGAAGAATAGTAAAACAATCTCTCTCTCTTTGCCTTGTGAGTTGTTTGACTTCAAACAATAACCTATCTCACTTAAAACTTATAATCTGAAAAATATTTTATTCACGAAAACACACTGTTATTACTAACAACACCACAATACATGCAAACTATTGAATTATTATACAATGGAAGAGTTACCCCCTTGCATTAGCAAATTGAGATGACCCATCAACATCCACTGAAGGCATGCTCTTAGAAATGGACAAAGTAATTGGGTTCTTTATCAGAATTGCTAACTATGTGTGCCACAGTTGAAGAGCTCAACTTCTAAAGCATTAAACAACAACTGGGTCTTAATGCAATTTCAATAACATAAATAATAAGCCCTGAATTCTACGTGTAAGATGATTGCAATGGACATGAAGCAGCCCCACTCTTAAGAATTTATTCAAGTAGGAAGAAAAAAAAAAGAAAAAAAGAAACAGAAAGAAAATATACACTTTTCACACTTTCTAGATATATTAAACCCTATATTTCATACAAAAATGGATAAATTCAATGTGAGAGACAAGTAATGAAGCAATAAATAAAGGACAGAACAGTTATACTCTTTTTTTTTTTTTTTTTTCTTTTTTCTTTTTTTGCTTCTAGAGTTTGTGCTTTCATTCACAAAAAAACATCTTTACACATTGAGAGAACAAGACTTAAAACCCAACAAAATTAATTATTATGTTCCATGTAACAAAAATTGTATAGATTCAACAAGAGGAGGAAAATTGGCAAGAGTTTTGTGGAAATGAACTTGGATACATGCAAATGTGAGTCTGGGTTCAGATTCAGGCTATCAATGAGCTAGACCCCATGCAATCTATACTTGTTCCCATCAGAGATTAGGGTTTCATCCAGGGTGAACAACATAACAACATTAGGGTTTTGTGAATGTTGTATGAGTCTTGGGTTCAAATCCCGAGTATTGCAAGAGTGACGTGGGATGATCCCAAAGAATTAGTGAATTGAATGTGTCGGGGATGGGGGAACACTACCCAACATGTATGTATTTCCTTATCATATTTGTATGTATCTCTTATTCTAAATAGTTCATGGGAATAAACCAACAAGATAAACTAGAGACAAAAACTATCTCTAATTGGTTGCATATCTCATTGTTTTTATCAAAAGTGAAGCAATAATTCAACTTTTGATCAATTATAGATCAAAATTTGCATGTAGTTGCTGTAGATTGCCAAGAGTAGTTCTATGAGATCACTAGGCATGGAGCTTGAAAGCACCACAACATGGAATGGCATGCAACATGGAGTTTTACGTCATATGAAGCTTCAAACAAAAAAATAACTAACAACATGTAATTTACAATGTTTTTTTTTGTGGCCAATGGCATAAGTTTCCACTAATACATATATATATATATATATATATATATGGATGTCTCATATGTTTAAGAATCATTGTTGATTGGACAATTGGAGTCTATTTCTTAGATAGAAATATGTGGATATTGTGCTTTAAAGGATGTTAGAAGTGGAGAATGTGTTGGAGAAAAGTATTATGAAAAAACTTATGTAAAGCAATTGTTATATTGCCAATCAAAGAGTCAATGCCTCATATTAGTTCTTTTATTGAATTGAAGACAATATTTGTCTGACATGATTCCTTATTTTGTTTTATTTATGTTATTTTTTTTTACTAAATAAAAATAAAATTTGCAGATGTGTACTGTTATTCACACACATTAATGTATTTTTTTTGAAATTCAAGTTTGACTTTACACTATTTTTTGTATAATGTTTATGTTTTAATTAGAAGTTTCTCAAGTTTACATGAAATCTCTAAAAAAAATTACTTTAAATTAAAATAATATGAAAATTATGGTCCTATTTTCAAATCATTCGAATCACATTAAAATTGAAGAAGTTTTATTAAAGAACTGTGGTAAAGGTACATATTTTGATTTATTCATTTGACCCACTCTGTATTTTCACACACATACAAAAATCATACGATTAAAAACGTGTTAATGTTTTTATGTTATTTCAAAGTATTATTTATAAATGTATTCCAATTTTAGATACCTGACACAATGAGACTTTTGTATCATTAAAAAATTAGTAGTAATCTCTAAAATCATGTTAACAATGAGTTCTCATGACCTCCAATTAATTATTTATGCAATATTTTTTCGAAAAATAATTAATACCCTAATTCTTTGAAGTCATTTTGTAAATAAATTTAACATTAAACAATCACAAAGTAAATTTTTTGACCAACAAGAGTTCTTCCTTCCACCCTTTGTTATCTTGACGTTCATATCTATCCTTCACATTTTTAACAACTCATTACAATTTTAATCATTTTGGTAGCTTAATCCTTAGTAGATGCAGGACCACCATTTCACACATGTAGTTCAACCTCCAATTAGTTTTTTCACAGTTTGCAATCTATATGTTGTCAAGGAGAGTATTCTTCATTTTAGTCCTTGTTCTAGCTTGGAATAGGTAGGAAAGTTGTGAACAAAATTTGTTATCGTTATTACTGTACAATTTTTCAGTTATCCAATTACGCTACTGTTTGCCATTGAAGAAGAAGCACGCACAGATGTAAGAATGCATATATATATAAATATATAAATATATATATATAAATATGGAATAAGAGAGTTGTATGTTTATGGCATAAGTTGTGTGTAACAGAGTACGAGAAGAACAATCTCGCAAATTTGTGGACAAGAAGCAACATGTTGATAGTTACTGAACCATGATCAACAAAAATTGATTTAAGTATGTTAGCACAGAGATCTAATAGATAGAAGTACGTAAGTGGAATTAAGGTGCCACTGTTTACCTCATGACACTCTCCGTTCTCATCTATGATGATTGAACATTTGATATGCCTGATACGATGAGACAGAAGAGAAAATAGACTGGGATTAGCAACGGTGAAAGAGGAGTCTGCTCCAAAAATCATTCAATTCAAATTGTACAATCGTTACTTGATGTAAGATCCATGTGCAGGTTGCAGATGAAATACGGGCATTGCAGCTCAGGGTGCAACTAACCTTTGTGGCTAGAACTTCCAAAAGATGACTCATGCTACCCCAGGGCTTACACTAGAGGGTCACGAAAGCACCCAATTGACCGGCTACTTGTACCAAAATCACAATGCAAGCCTGAATCTAATTGAGTGCTGGATCCCAAAGTAGACTCTACCCTCAGCAGCCTTACAGAATACGTCTAACATTATATAGCTGACCGTCGCACTATGTCAGCAGATTTCCACTCATCTTGTCCTTTCCATGTGAGGTGTAAAGATACCAGACCTACAACTTGTTCACATTGATTTATTGACAAGCAGGTTGATGTTGGATTCAGTAGTGACATCCAGGTTTTTGGATGTCCGAATCGATGAATCTTGAGCAAAGATGCTGTGCCAAAAAATGTAGCACCGATGTTTTGGTACAAATCACCGCCTCTCTGGGCAATTCTTCCCTATATGGCCTGGTTTGTTGCAAATGAAGCATGTCCCAGAAAATGAACCTCTGAATCAAACAAAAAGCATTGTACTTAGATCGGCAGGTCATGATCCAATTGCTAATTAAATTTAAGCTCCTCCAATGAATATTGAATGCTTTAAAGCTGCAGGAGTAGCACGATTTGTTTCCTATGTGGAATAGCGAACAAGCTATAAGAATTGTCGATAGGCTTGTGAAAATTATTGATTCAATGTATTCTCTAAGATAATGATGAACTGTACACGGTTGAACTACGAAATTGAGAAAATTCTCACCTGTCGGAAGAGCGACCAAACGGGCTGCTGAATCGGTCATTGCTAGAACGATCACTGCTACTCCATTCATCGGGACGCCCTGAACCGCTACGACCAGTCATCCTTCCACCAAAACGGTCACTGGAACGGCCACTGCTGAATCGATCACTGGAGCGGTCACTGCTAAAACGGTCACCGGAGCGGTCACTACTGAAGCGGTCACTGGAGCGATCACTGCTAAAGCGATCACTTCCACCTCTTCCACCTCTTCCACCAAAGCGGTCACTACTGAATCGATCACTATCACCAAAGCGGTCACTGAATCGGTCACCACCTCTTCCTTCGCCACGACCTCCACTAAAACTTCCTCGTCCACCGCCACCACCAGCTCTAGAAAAGCGGCCATACATGTCTCCGCCTCTTCCTGCACCAAATTCGTCCTCTTCTAGTCGAGGTAGCTGCAAGAAAAAAAAACGATTGAAGATCTGGTCTGTATGATACTCTGACGGTTTCAACGAACGCAAAGAACATTCAATGTTGCAATCAAAAAGGATGGACATACACATCAAATGTAACGCATTACACTGTTATCGAAATAAACCTGCATTATAACAGCTGTAGCTTCTCTCAGACGAATGCAAGCTAACCAGATTTTCCCGCGGTTCGAATTTCCACAACTCACGTCGCACTGGCTAAAATGTTCTGTAGAAACTTCCATGCAATTCCGGTCTCCGCAAGAAGAAACGTCTGGGAGGGAGAAGTGGAGCTTACCGATTGGCAGACGTCGATGACTTCTCCTGAACGAGTGGGCTTACTCAACAGTTCTTTCGCCACATCTTCAGGAAGGTCAAACACAGCCCCATCAGCCTTTTGATCATCAACAATTTTAATCTTGCCAACTTTATCGACCGCCGTTGGCCAAATATCTGACAACACTCCCATTACAACACGGGGTGTCATAGGTCGAGAACCCCTAGGTCGCACCAAACGAAGTGTCGTCACGCCCTGTCGATGAAACAACACGTTATGTAAATATTCACTAACTTCAAGAAGACTTCAAAGCACAAATGTAGTACAAGTGTGTGGGCGTGAGTGTGCGCGTGTTTATACCTCTTCATGAGTTAGAAGAGAGCGGGATGTAGGAAGCTGTGTGAAGCCTGCGAGGTGGGCAAGGGCGGCAGCGAATGCATGAGGTCCTTGTTCCTTCAAAAGTTCTTCAGCAGTAGGCATGAATACTTCAGCTACCTCAGGGTGTACCCGCTTGATAACGTCAGTTGCACTTTCAGTGCTTGCCTTCAACACATCTTCTACTCTGGGCGCACTAATCTTTGTAAACTTGCAGCCAACATCTCTCTCAATGAGTCTCATTGTTCGAGTTTGCCTGTCGGAGTACATGAGAATAGCTGTTCCATCTTTCCCAGCTCGTCCTGTTCGCCCGGATCGGTGGACAAATGTTTCAGGGTCGTTGGGTATTTCATAATGAATAACCTGCAGGAACACAAAGTCAGTAAATCAGAAAAATCCAAAATTGAAGTTATCCAGACTAACGAAAAGCTGTCGAAAGTGGCTGATTAGCATTACTACTCACCAAGTCGACATTAGGAATATCTAAACCACGCGCAGCTACATCGGTGGCGACGAGTACTGAAAAGTTTCCTTCCCGGAAAGCATTCAAAGTCTTTTCTCGCTGACTTTGAGAAATGTCGCCGTGTAAAGCCTCGCAACCCAGAGTGCGAGCCATAGCAGTGGCGACATCATCCGCATCCCGCTTAGTCTGTGTAAACACGATAGTTTTGCCGCCTTTGCCATAAACCTGAGGACACCAAGCGGGCCATGGTGTATGTTATCACTCCACCACGCAGAAATATACAAACCAGAGATAGGACAGTGGTTTGCCAAGGAAAGACAAACAGTGCGTTGCGTTGGAATCCACAATGCACAAAAAGTAAGAACACTGACTAAGAACTTCGTACCGCTATCAAGTCGTTTAGAATAGAACGTTTGGCTTGTGGGACTGTCGCTACAGCATACAGCTTAATACGGTCCGCCAGCTTTTCATCACTCTCCCCCACCTGCAGGAAGCCCAAGACATAGATTAGACCTAATCCTGACAAGCCGAAAATAGGAAAATGAGAGTGCTCTCAAATAATTCATAAACATTATTGTCTCAATCGTCTAAAACCGTAATGTGTCAATTCAGTCTGAAGTGCATGTATAATCTAACACACTCAGAGAGCGTCTTACCAAATCGATTGTCAGAGCATCATGCAGATATTTACGAGACAATTTTTTAACCCAGGTTGGCATAGTGGCTGAGAACAGCATACTCTGGCGCTGGTTGGGCATCTGTTCTAAAATCTGTTCAACATCTTCTTCAAAACCGACAGCCAACATCTGATCGGCCTCATCTAGAACCAAAAACCGAACTTCCTGTAGGCGCAATGACCCTCTATTGATCAAATCAATTATGCGACCTGGCGTTCCAACAGCAATATCTACACCCCTCGTCAATAAACGCTGCTGTGAAGATATAGCCACTCCTCCGTATACACAAATTGTCGACAGCATGGGGGCGGATTCCATAAATTCACGTTCAACCTGCTTCGCTAGTTCTCTTGTAGGCGCCAAAACCAGAGCTCGAGGTGCCCGACCAGATCGCCTACATTTTGTATACCATGCAACTTGTGAGGATTCCAACTCACAGTGGGAGCTAAGACAAGGCAAGTGAGAAACAACTACGCCGAGCCATTGGTTCAAAGATAATAACAAAATTATGATTCGCTTCGCTTTACATTAAAAAGAAGATTCTAAAATCCCAAACCTTTTAAATTGTGAAGATATTTGATGAAGGAACCAACCACGAACATACGACACAAAAGATTTAGATCGCGACAAATATGGCAATAAAATATACCTTGCGACTCTGTTTTCTTCATTCTCGCGTATTATGTTGTTAATAATAGGAATTCCAAACGCTAATGTTTTCCCTGTCCCAGTCTTGGCTCTTCCAATCAAATCCCTCCCCTGCATAGCTGGCTCAAGTACTGCCCTCTGCGATAACCACCACCCACGAAACTCAAATTATGTAGAATGCCCGTGTCACTGCGTTTTCAAAGTTAAATTTGAAATTCAGTGCACTAACTGGAATATGACAATTATAAAAGTTAGCCATATTTTCTAAAGCCTGTCAGAGCTGCAATTGAGAAATTCTGGCAATTAATCCATTAAGATACAATTCAAAAAAAATTAATAACGTTCACTCTGTTAACAAGTGAAATAAACCCTATCATCATGCAAAAGCGGAATTCTCGAAGTAGTATTGCTGCGAAAGGACCAAGACCATACTGCTCAGCAGAACCCTTCAATAGAGAAGAAAAACCTACAAACAGTTGACGACCACAAGTGTACTATGCCAATTATCCCTTTGACATCATTCCTCCTCGACATTTCGGGCATACGGTGACACAAACCTGAATAGGGAAGAGCTGCGTGATGCCACGTTTCGCCAAGGCGTCCGCAACGGCATCAGGAATGCCTAGGCGAGAAATAGCCAACTCGTCGCCATCATCCATGGACTCATTATCCACTCTTATTACCTCAGCATCATCATCAATGTCGCTCTCATCTTCTTCACTGTCGGTTCCGCGGGAGTAACCAAACGATCCCGCTCTCCCTTTCTGAGCAACCAAAAAGTCCGTCGCCACAGCATTCGTCTCAGTGGCTCGGTCATCGTTCGCGACATACAAAGCCCTCTGCGTATCCCATGGCTTCTCCCCCTGGTTCCTCCCGTCCCTCTGCACAGCCTGCCCGACAATTTGCAGTCCCTTTCCTGCACAAACGCAGACAGCTCTGGTCCTCACCCGCACCCGCTCCCCTGCCAACGAAGAAGACGCTGCCCCTAGGGACTTCTCCACTGCCACACCCGCTGTGCACAAAGACGGGGCTCCGACAATGGTAGCCATCCCTACTCTCCTTTCCACACAATTCCCGTAAACAACAACCTCAACGAATTTCAACTCTCCGCGATTGAGACACTACTGAACAACACAAACAAACAAACTCCACGAAGTCCAGGAAGCCAGCCAGCCAGCCGTGGTGTGGAGCAAGGGAGGCACAGCTTGAGCTGCGAAATGCAGCACGTCCTGGGGAGAAAGGAAATATCGGAGGTCGAAGGTTTTGGGTTTATGAGGGTTGGATAGATAGAGAGACGCTGGGAAAGCAAGGGACGCAAGCAGAACCTTAGCCACAACCAGCGTGGGGACAGCAGAGCCCCAGCTTCGCCGCTTGCGTGGCGCATTCTCAATGCTGAGTTGGAGGGTGACGTGGACCCCTCGTTTCTTCCCAAGGCTGCTGCTGGGTTTGGGTCCCCTTCTGCGTTTCCGGTAATTTCATTAAAATATCTTCCAATAAAAAAAGGTTACCTTTTCTCTGAAATATCTTACAGTAAAAATAATAGTAATAATATTAAATAATGAAGATTTTTCATTGTAATTGGAAAAGAAAGGGGGAAAAAATAACATAAAAATAGAGAAAAATGAACACAATAAAGAGGTATGTTTTACTCTTTCAAAAATATTCTCATGAGAAAAAAATAATAAAATAAAGAAAATAACACATATTCGCACACTGTATTGTTGATTTTTCTAATTATAGATGTAGAATCCACCCATGTCCAACTACAAAAAAATAAGTATGTAAAGGAATATATTAATGAGAAAAAAAAAAGGGGGTTATTCAAGTGGGATTATTAAAGTGTCTCACTACAAACTTCAAAGTTTTTTCTTCAAATAAAGAAATTAGATTAGGATGCAAATCTGAGCTCTTTTTGCAATCTGTAACCTATGTTGGAGGGGGTCTAAATCCACACATTTTTTAAAAAAATTATTCTATTTGACCACTTAAATTTACAATGCAAAAATAAAAAATTAAAGTAATCTTTTTGATTTAGAAATAAACAGGATAACATAAAATAAAAGCCAGATTTTGACGATCAGTAAAATTTTTACATGAATCATAACAACTGAATTGCAATAGCTAATTCAATATTGCTAATCATGTATCAAACCTTAGGTTGTACAACTGCAAATGAATGTATACTCATGAATCCACTGATTTTAAATATTCAATCAGAAAAGATAAACGCTATATTTAGATTTTAGATTTTTTTATAGTTTTTTTTATAGTTATATATATGTATTTTTGTATTAAAATCTATTTTTCATGCGTAAGATCTTCAATTATTCTTTAACAGAATAATTGAATTCATAATTTTACACCCACTTATTCATCTGAATGTCTTCCTTGATTAAATGAATAATATTTCAATTGATTTTTCAACCATATCTTTATTTAGTCCATCCACATTGCTATGTCTATAATAGCATTCTAGGATGACGGTATCCTGTTCACACGGCAGGTAGTCTTCTTTGGGTCGGTGCCAACGGCGGACGGACATGGACGAACGAAGACGAAAGTTGATGGTCGTTGACGGGCGTGGACGCAGCCGCGGCGGTTAGTTGTTGCGATGTCGGCGTCGTCGCCTCTTCCTCCACTCAACCAGCTTTGCATAGCTTCATTCTTGCTGCTGCTGTTGCTGCTGTTGCTGCTTTAATTGCTGTCTTGGTGGATTAGGGTGAGAGTTTACATTTGCTGTTGTTGCGTGTATGGGCCCGATCATGGCTCATTCCATCGGGTGAGTGGATTCATCACGCATGCAAGGATCACCGTTCTCCTCTCCCCTTCCCATCGTCTCTACATTCGCTGTTTGCTGCTTTCTTGCCAGGTTACTCTCTTGCTGCTCTTGTCGGCATGCTTCGCGTCTTTAGATCAGGATTTATTGTTAGCATGTTTACCTTGGATCGTTTCTGTACCAGGATTTCTTGACGCAGTGGTTCGATCATGTGCTTGGTCAAGAAACCAACAGTTCTTAGAGGTCGTGTTGTGTGATAACGAATCTGGGATTATCCTTTAGGTGTGACTTGTGCAGTAATTGTTTTATCGTATAATGTTTTATTTTCAAATTTCTTAAATAATTCATTTTATTAACTTTTATTTAATGACTTTGATTCTCTTCAAGTGAGACAGTATTACAGAGAATTGCTAGTCGCTGTAAACTTCTTCGCTGGTTTAACGTTACTTTTGAGAGCAATTTATCTGTTGTTGCTTAAGTGTATTCCGCAAATAATTATTTCAAGCATCTTGAAATATATCTTTGTTGAAAAATTTGCGAAAGATTGTATTGAGTGATGATAACAAATTGCATGATCACTCTCAGAAGCGCCTTGATTTAGCAATGGTTGCTCGGGGATGAATGAGTACGAACAGTAGGTACTAGTTGTGACACTTTTCTAATGATCGCATCTCTGTTGCTGAGCATGGTTGATGACCAAACTGGTGAGAATTTGAAGATATCGTAAACAAGTTTAGAAGTAAACTGATATTTTTTGAGGAATATTCCATGTTATTTGCGACGTCTTTTAATCCCAGTCTAGGTGTCAGGTTGTCAACTCATAAATATGGTACCGAGGACTCGAGTGTGTAGTTATGAATTACATATTTAATGTAGTTACTTCTGATTGTTCTCCAAAACCTTGTTCACAAAATGACCGCAGCTAAAGCATGCCATAGGTCTTATCTACCGATTGTACAATGGGAAATAACATGTTCGTTGACTAGTTCCGAGTAATTCTGATTTACTCTGTGAAGGAAAGCTCAGTAGAGTGTTCTTTGCTTTGATTTGATTTTTGATTTATTTTTTGAATACTTGAGGGTTGTTAGTGCTCCTCTCTTGCAGAAAATGTGGGTAATCGCACTTGTGCTCACTTAATTGCAAAGAATACTTTCATCATAAATCGTTTCAGACTCTAATTAGGGGTTGTGAAGCAGGTCTATACGAGAAATGGTGCGGAAATACAGAGAGGAGTTGTCATGGCTAGCCGTCCGAAATGGTAACCGGGTCTTTTCTTCAGAAGAAGATTTTAATGGGGGAACGAAGCCAGTGAACGACACAAGGCCCTTCCCCGCTCACAAGTATTGCTGGAATGCGATACAGAACGCCGCTCGCAGCTCCATGCAAGAGGTCTGTCTTTTCAGTCAGCATCTATTGAATGTCTTCTTTAAATTTTCAGCCAAGATCAACTCGAGTTTTCAGCAGGACAATTCTGTGCCTGTACCAGAGACACACCTAAACCCTTTGTTACTGCCGTTATTTACTGATGATTGATTCAACGATTTTTGCGTTCACAATCCTCGATCAGTCTGTGCGAGCTGTTTGATTACTTTGGCCTCAAGACCTGCTCTGCAATTGTTAATACCATGTATCAGTCCTAATAACGTCTTAGCAAATACTACATACCAATTAGTCCAAGTTGAAATTCTAAAGCACTAGGGCTACACATTTTTTTCTAGAAATTTCACCAACGCTAGCCATTGTATTATTCCTCTCAATTACAGGACGTGTTCCTGTCTCAGGTATTTTGCAGCACTTGGATGTTTTCTAAAGTAATACATTAGGAGACCTTGTATGCCTGCTGATCCTACATTTCAGTTTCTTGTAAAACACAAGTACTTACAATCCTCTGAAATTCCAGATGGACGATTTTGCAAACTTTCAGGACCTCGACCGTCGTGCTACAGAAGTTCTGCGTCGCAGGTATTTGCTTTCTTACGCATTGATATCATGATGGGCTGAAGAATCGTTTTACAGATTTTGTTTTGATGTCTCAGATACGAAGTTAGTGTATACTGAAGTATGGAATTGCAAGCTTCAAGTCTTTTTTTCGCATCCGTGTTGAAGCTATAACTATGAAATTTATTTCAGAAATCTGTATTGTGATAATTTAAACATACTGCCATCGCTTCAGCAAGTGCCATTGTTATTGATCGCATGAACACTTTCTTCTACTGGAATGGGCATTCAGGAAAAATATGCAATACAAATTGTTCAGACTGCATCAGTTCAGGTGCATTCAGTTTTGATGCGAATGATTGCACTACCTGCTACAAATATCATGGTTCCATGTCAAAACAGGAACTTCATGTAATGGTCTCATATTGTAGGCCTAATTTTTCTTATCATCATATTCTGCTATGAAGAACTGGAGTGTTGTTTGGGTGTGTAGTCAGCAGGTTCTTGAAGGGGAACACACTTGCAAGTCTTCTGTAGCTCTTACCAGAAAATCAGGCTTTCACACTAGCGGCATACAGACATCTAACTTGCCTGGCACTAGATTATGTTCACCCCATAGTTTAGAAACACGTGAGCGACGAAATCGCAAGAGCCATCGTTGCACAGGAGATGTGGTTACGAGGAATTTCGAGGAGATTGAGAAAATTCTAGGCGAGTGCAATTTGATCATGGAACAAAACTCCTCCAGTAATGAAGGTGAACTCTCTCATAATGGTGCTTAATATCTGTCCGTTTCAAATTTATTCCGCATGCTCATATTTCATTTTACAGAACTGATAGATTGTTAGGAGTTTTAGGACCAAATAAATGCCAAAAGTCGGCAGTCAGAAACTGCTCATTCAATTAAATGTGAATGAAGTTGATACTTCTGCAGATACAAAACATCTGGAACAAGTGAGCGCTAGAGAGATGGCTGCCAGCAGAGCTGCGAATGCCTTCTTGAAAAAAGGTGCTGGACATTGCAGTGCTCTAGCAACCGAGAGGATGCTGGAAAGTGCTACAGCCCTTGCAGAGGTGGGAGCTGACCTCACTTGCCGAAATTTGGTGAATATTTCTGATGGATTAACGGGCAGTGCAGATCCAGCTTGTCATCTTCCCACCTTCAACACAAGTCAGTGGATACATATCTTTCGTGTTTTATTCCTTTTTTTATTAAAGAACCTTTGTGATGTAGCAGACTTCTGTTGAAATTGTCTTATCGAAATGCTCTATCTTTTTGATGACTCTTGAGCATTCAGCCAGATTTTCTAAATTTTCTCATCTGTATACAGGAAAACAATATGGATGGCAGACTACGGAGTTGTCATCTCTACAATCCTCAGTTTTGTGCCATGAATCGATGATTTGTGACATATCAGTCCCTGAAACATCTAGGGCCACTTCCGCTAAACTTCCAGTAATGAACGAAGTAAAAACTGCGTGTAGCGATGTGCGGTGGTTGAGCAAAAGTGAACACCTACATTCTGAGAAATTCAGCGTTTCTTCAAAGCAAGCAAACAATGGTGATTGGGAATCTCTCGAGCGGATCAATTTTGGGAATGTTTATTTGGGTGGAACGAATGCGAATGGCAGACTACTAACGGGAAGTAGAAGTGATAGAACTACCACAGAAAGACAGCGGCCAAATGTTGTGGACTGTCAGCACCCCTACTCTATGAGAAAAACGTCCATAAAAAACTACCCAAAGTACAATAATTCGTGCTCCACGCAGATTCCGTTGAGTCACGCTGGAAGTTTTTGGCAGGGAGCGGGAGGTTATGACCCTGATATGTCAGGTATAGAGAGTCGGAGCTGTGTAGAAAGATGGGTTAGAATGAGTTCATATGAACCTGGATGTTTGGAGACTAGAAGGGTTCAAGTATTGATGGAGGATTTGCAAATGGATTTGGGAAATTCAGGAAGAAAACGAGCAAGTTTGAGGTCTTCATCATCTGAGCATCAGTTTAAGGCTTCATGCGAAGGGCGATGGGCTTACCCACCCCAACCTTACCTTTCTCAAAATAGTTCAATGTCTCCAGTGGCTTCAGAATTTGTAAGGTTGGTTACTTCACGACTTCAATGTGTACTATTACTGCAGCTTGAGGACACCAATTGCCATGTAAAATAAGAGTAGTTTCGAATCATAGATCATTTCCCAGATGCATATTGTATCGTGCAGTTCTTCTTTGTGGATGTATAACCCTTTTGTTCGAAAACCTTCGAAGTGGCGTGCTATGTCCATCACTCACATTCGACTGCAGGCCTCAGCTGCAAGTCTTCTAACGGTGTAGCAGTTGTTGAGGAGCGTGAAGAACTGGCTCTCCGACACAACCAACGAAAAGATTCAAGGTTAGGAGCAGCCGTCAATAGCAACTTCAAAGAAAGAGGTCAAGAAGACTTTGACTGCAGTGCTTTAACTGCCGGGATTCCAAACAATAACTTGGTGTTTGATCACAGTAACAGCAGAGAAGCTGGGAACCACTCTCCTGGAACCGTTTCTGCAAAGATCCTCGAAACACGGCAATCAGATCAAACGTCTTACATGTTTCCTGCTCCAGTGAGGACACATGCCGCAAACGAAGCTGCGCAGATTGCAGAAACGTGCATGCCGTCTGAGAAGGCTAGCATTCAGGTTGAGATTAGTAGTGACCTGTCACTCGAAACATTCTTCCCCTTGGTATTGACTGTGAAAGAGGATCACTGCGCAACCAGCTGCCAGGTTTCTCAACGCTTGCACCATTCGTCAACAAGCTCCATAGTCTCGCCTGAATTGGACCTTTTGATATCAGAGGTAACTGATACCTCCTGGGTCTTCTTCGGTTTCCGTTCAGTAAATCCATCTCATGATTTCTATCAATGATGTCATTCTAAATTTCCATGACCTCGAGCTTACTCATATGGCGAAGGCCTAACACAGTCGAGAATTTGCACTTCTTACGTCGCAGGCTATAAATTATGCATGAATAGCAGTTGTTTCCGAATGCCAGTAACATGACTATGACTCCATCACAGGTAATACGTGAATGGGTCGGCGGCGGCTGTAACACTTCCCCAACCGTGTGCTCTTGGTTTGGACGTCAAGAAACTTATGCTGCAAGCCCTACTACTTCTTCGATCACCGAAGTGTGCAGCGCTGATTTCCCTGTCGCAGAGGTTGAGACATCACTAGAAGAAAGGATAAACATTGTGAGAGGGGTGAAAGTTTCGGAAGTTAATACCCACGACCCATATAGAGAATTGCAAGGATCAAAATCTCAACCCCAATGCACAGAGCTGGTGAAATGTGTTGGGAAAAATAGTGTAGCAGCCCTGGCATCAGTTGTACAACCGTTACTAGCTGCTCTACAAGTAAGCACATCCACTGATAAACCTTAACGACTGAGAAGGGATCTTAGCTCACGCTTATGTTGGACTGGTCATTTCTTTGGCCAACCACCAATCTGATGATAGCTTCGTAACTGCTCAAGGTGTATTGTGAATGATGTCTTGTTGAGCATGCACGTTCCGTTCGCAAAAATATATGAGGTGCTGAGCATACGTAGCTTCACAAAGCAAGAGTTATCTTTCGTCTTGTCATGGTTGGTTGGGCACCTCAGGAAGAACAGGGTAGAGATTCTGATACTTATTCCATGCACAACACCCAGAATGTGATTCCTAATGTCGGGGTTTTGTGCAGGGGTCAGAAGTAGGAGAAAATATTATCACAGAATTTGAAGCAGATGAGACAATCCATTTGCTCCTGGAGAAACTGCAGTTTTATGATGCGAAGATACGGTGAGCTAGGAACTAGATTCCTGCGAGTTATTTTTAAGCAACATCGTCTAAGCATACTAATCTCATGCAGAAGAGTTTTTTTGTTTCTTGCAGGGCCCTGAAGAGTAGAGGGAAAGGCAATCTAAGAAACCAAAGCTCTACAACAGAGAACTGAACTAAAATGGGCACATTTTTCTGTAAAACTCGTGCAACAATTTTTCGGATTATCCATCATAACCTTGCATAGGTAGAGTCTTAAGTCTACAAATCAATTTTTTTCTCAAAAGCAACAATGTTGGATTTTTAAGTAATAAATTTTTTACTTGAAAGCTTGTCTTGTTTTAATATCCAACATCGTTGCTGCAATACCTTACATAGCATTTTTCTTTAGTACAAACAATAAACACATTGTTTGCGTGACTCCCGAATAACACGAAACTCCCTCTAAAAGTCTGTGGTCCACACAACATGCTCAATTTCCTGCAGCTATGAATCGGCAGCTCTCAGCGTAAAAGTGTGACTCACAAGTGGTATGAGTTTGAATGAGGAAACCTTGAATGGTAGTACAAGTGGTTTCGAAATGCTTTGGTCTCCCGGGTGTTAACAGAGGAGAAGTAGAAAAAAGAACGTATTATACAACAGTAACAATGATATTAACTAGTTCTTGTTAAGTGTATATTACAAAGGTTGATGTCAACCTTTAATATGATGGGACTTAAATGTAAGGGGACATGATGTTATTGTCTAAATATAATAACTACTTACTAAAATTATTCTATTAATTTTAAATGCTTTTGTCTAAGCATCAACTACCATATCTTTGATTGGTCATAATAGAATGGAAATATTTCTATGTTAAATAATTTTTCTAGAATAATAATATTTTATATCAATATACTTTGATGGATTATGATGGTGTGGATTTTTAGATTAGAGAATTAAAAATTGGTTATTGTAATATAAAGGTAAGATATTCAATTGGTGATAGTCTATGTCATTTATTAATTTTAAAATCTAAATAGCTTCTTTTGCAACTAAAGTACAAGTTGTATATTTTTTTTGGTAGAAGATAATGCAATAATAGGTTATTGCTAACTTTGCCAAGAAATAGCTCCATTGGTTAATATAAATACATAATCTAAAGTGGATCTTTGAGAGTTTTCATTACTTGACTTATTTACTATTACTTCAATTTTAAACTTAATGTTGATAATCAATAGAACTTTGTTTAATTTGATAAATAATTCTATAATTTAAAGTATCTTTAAAATATCGCATTAAACATTTTACTATGTACCAATGTGCTTAAATTAGATTGGCAATAAACTTGGGAACTTGGCTAGTAATAAAAGCAATATTCTGCCTATTATACGTCATGGCATGCATTGAACACTTTGTGGAAATTAAATATAGAACATCCTTCATTGTCTCTATATATTTAGAATCAATTGGATTCATATTATTAATTAATCTTCAAGCAGGGTTGAATCATGTTTACAATTATACATATTAAATTTGATAAGAAATTTAGTTATATATTTAATTTTTGATATATTAATAGATTTATTAATTTTAATGCATTCAATTATCATGCTTAAAAAACTATCTCCACTTTTAGTGGATTTTTTATTAGTCATTTCAAAAGCCTTTTAGTTGTGCCTAAGAATTGTATATCATTACTAATAATAATAGAATTGTCTACATGTAATGCTAATATAATAAAATTTTAATGTACTAGCTTTTTTTTATTTAATTATATAAATAAATAAATAAATAAATAAATAAATAAATAAATAAATAAATAAATATATATATTAGAACCTACTTCACAATTAAAATAAATATTTTTAATGAAATAATGGTTAAATTATTCATTCCACATATACAAAGCTTATTTTAATTTATATATAATTTTTAATAACTTACAAATTTTATGTAAAAAGTGAGGATTAGTATAACCCTTTGGTTGAGCTATATAAATTTCATTATTTAAGTGACCTTGAAAAAATACAATCTTAATGTCTATTTGATAAACATATAGATCATATATTGCTTCTAGAAATAATAAAATACAGAATGAACTTAATTTTAACACAAGAGAATTTTTTTCTACATAGTCAATACCATTTTTTTTGTAAAAACATCTCTAGTAATCAATCTAGCTTTGTAATGGATGATTATTCCATTAGTATTACATATTATTTTCAAAGTCCATGTACAACTTATTATAAAACATCTTGGAAGAAGATACACTAAAATCCATGTATTATTTTTAATTAAAAAATCATATTTAGCATCTAATGCATCTCTCTACTTGATAGCATCCTTTTTATTTAAAGCTTATGTTATTGTAATAAGTTCATCATCATCAAATAAAATAGATAAATAATTTTTAAATAAGACATAATCATGATATTCTTCTAGTATATATATATATATATATATATATATATATATTTTTTTTTAAATCTAATTGACCTTCTTAATAGAATAGGTAATGAATATCTTGAATTACTTAAACTGATATTATTAATCATATAATTATTATTTGATAAAATAGTTTGTGAGGTAATTAATAACAAAGAAATATTTATTTACATTTTAATTTACTTTAAACATGAGTATCATCAAAAGGCATATAATTATTAGATAATATTAATTACAAGTAAATATTAAGATATTTAGACTAAATAGAAATATTATTTGAGAATTTTTATTAAGAGAAAAGTTTTTTTAGTAGGTATTTTAAATTTTATTTTAATTAAAGTACCAATATATATATATATATATATATATATATATATTTTAATGATTATTTTTAATTTGTACTGATTCATTTTTTTGAGCAAATAAATTATTTAATGAGGCAATTTTATCAAAGATAATATTTTGACTAATATATATATATTTTTTAAATTTCTATCATAGAAAAAAAATCTTTTATGCCTTATAATTTAATATATCAAAAAAAAACTTATTTATTATCTTTCATATCAAACATGTATTGGTACTTATCTAGAATATGTACATATTTTATACATCCAAAGATCTTTAAATAACTTAAATTAGGTGTTCTAACACAGCATAATGTCAAAGAAGTAATTGAAACTTATAACACTTTTGAAAAAGAACTATTTTATGAATAACAAGTCAAAGCTATGGCATTTTCTTAAAAAGAATTAAGTAATTTAAATATATGCAACATACATCTAGTAGATTGTAAAAAAATTATATTCCTTATTTTTTTAATATCATTTTATTTTAATATAAAGAATATTATAAATTAATATAATATTCTATGTTAAATATAAAAGTTATTAAATTCTTCTTGATATTTATTCTTCTTTTATTTTTAGATCATAAAGTTTAATATTTTATAATTTGTTTGATTCTCAGCTTAAGCTATTTAAGCTTTAAATTTTTGAAATACCTTTAATTTATGCTTTAAGAAATATAATGTCTCAAACTTTGAATTATTATTAATATAGATGAAAAAATTAGTAAAGTCTTTATTAGATTTAGTTTTTATGGAACTATATACATTGATGTGGACTAACTTGAGTGATGTTGAAGCACGTAGAGTTTTATCTTTGAAAAAAGAATTTTATATTATTTTTTAGCAAAATTACTTTTGTATAAAAAAATTTGTGATAAATATATGAAGATACTCATAAAATCTTTTCTACAGAAGTAACAATTAATAGTCATAGTAGCTTTGTAATATTTAATATCATTAGATCTTCTTTTAATTTAATCATTTTAGATTTATTATGGCTAAAAAAATATAATCAAAAAATAGATTAGATTTCTTGTAGTCTTGATTTTTCTAAAAGTATAATTGAGAATGTTATTAATCAAGTAGAAAGTCATAAGTCTAATGTAACTATATTTGTATTTGAAGATGCAAGAGCTTTCTTGCATACTGCAAAAGAAGGATTATCTTATATTATTTATGCTATACCTATTTCTAATGGTGGAAAAGCTTCAAGTAGCATTCTAAACTAATATCAAGGTTTTAAAGATGTATTTGAGAAAAAAAATATTAATATTCTATTAGAACATTGTCTCTATGATTGCTCAATTGACCTTCAAGAAAGACCTTAATTGCCATTTGGACCAATTTATAGTTTATCACAAAATGAGTTGGCTAAACTCAAGGAGTATATTGAAAAAAATTTGGCCAAGAACTTCATATGTAATGCAAAATTTCTAGTAGGAGCTCCAATTTTATTTATGAAGAAAAAAGATGGATCATTATGAATGTGTATCAATTACCGAAGACTCAATAAAATCACCATCAAGAATAAGTACCTACTATCTTTGATATTTAGACTTTTTGATTAGTTGAATCAAGCTAAGATCTATATAAAAATAGATCTACAAAGAGCATACAATCTAATACACATCAAAGAAGGAGATGAATAAAAGACTAAGTTTCAAATAAGGCATGGACATTTTGAATAGAATGTCATGCCTTTTAGACTTATAAATGCACCAATAATTTTTCAATAATTAATGAATGATATTTTTTGAGAGTTTTTAGATGACTTTGTTGTCTGCTACCTAGTCAACATCTTAATCTATTCTAAATATATAGAAGAACATGAATTTTATATTTGTTGTATGTTACAAAAATAAAAAGATGTAGGATTCTATATCAAGATAGAAAAGTGTATATTCCATACTACTTAAGTCGACTTTTTAAGATATTTTACTTCAAATGATGGACTTATGATGGATTCAAAGAAAATTCAAGTAATTATGGATTGAAAGATCTGAAAAATAATAAGAGATGTCTAATATTTTTTAAAATTTGGCAACTACTATTGAATCTTTATGAAGGACTTCTCTTAAGTTGCAGCTTCACTTATACGTTTGACTTGTAAAGACAAACTTCAATGGAATCAAGAAGCAAAAATAACATTTGAAGTTTTAAAGAAAGCCTTTATTTTTGTACAAATTTTGTATTGCATTAACTTTTCTAAGCTATTTTTTATAGAAATAGATGCATCAAAATTTTCTTTGGATATTATATTATCACAAATGAGAATAAATAATAAACTTCACTTGATAGCTTTTTATTCAAGAATTTTTTTAGTAGCCAAGATCAACTATAAGATTCACAACAAAGAACTTCTTGCAATTATGGATTCATTTTAAGAATGGCGCCATTACCTAAAAGACACTTCTAATCCATTCATTATTTATACAAACCATAAAAATTATAAATATTTTATGTTAATACGTATTTTAAATCATCTTCAAGCTCGTTGGAGTATGTCTTTGTTAAGATTCAATTTCAAGATTACTTATCAACCCAAACACAATAAGATTTATTAAATATCTTTTCTAAACATTCTTATATTGCACTAAAAGAAAAAAATCAATCTTTTGATCAACAAAGAATGATTCTTTTGAAGTCATAATATTTTCATCTTCAAGCAATAAAATCAATATTGATTGTTGATTCAACCTTTATCAAATAAATTCAATCAAGTATGTCCTTTAATCCTCTTATTTATAATATCAAGAATACTTCTTTTAAGTCTTATAATGCTTTCAAGTTTGAATTTAAAAATAATATATTCTATTTCAAAGGATGCTTGTACATTCTAAAAAGAGAAGCACATTTACATGTTCTTTAAGCATATCATGACTTTCTAGCAGTTGGATATTTTGGATACAACAAGACTTTGGAGCATATATTTAGTGATTTTTGGTGGCTGCAAATGTACAAGGTAGTGAAAGACTTTGTCTAGTCATGTGATGTTTGTTCAAGG